TGGATACAGAGCAAGTATCATAGAAATAAAATTCAAGGCAAAAAATTGATTAAATACCAGAATAGCAAGTATAATAAACATTAAGATACTTTTAAACGAAGTATTACTAAAAATAAATAATGTGGTCATGTACATAGATATTTGGATACAGAGAAAGTGTCAATAGAATTTAGGGCGAAATATGGATGCAAGTATGATAAACAATTTGATATTTTTATAAAAAGTGTTACTAACAAATAAAATAATAGATTATGGAGTTCCAGCAAGTGTGCTCATAACAAATAAAAAGATAGCAATTCATTTACCACAGTGAATTAAATTCATTACACATTACTACTTGCTATAACACGCGGGCACATGATACTCATCGTGTTTTAAACTTTTTTAAAGGTTTTGCTCGCTCTCCAGAACTCTCCATTTTTTATTTGTTTGTATTGTCAGATTGTGGACTTTTCAAAATAAACTATCTATATCAATGAATACAATATCCCAGGTCACCACTTGGCTGGTTCATATTCTGTTCTGTAGTTAAGTTTTCTGCCTAATAATGGTATGTATTCCCAATAAGCATTACAGTATGCTCATTCGTTCACTCAATGAGTGATTTTAATTACGGTTAATATAAATAAGTTCATATTCCATGTTGCATCCATGATTCAGTATTTATTTTGTTCAATTCCAGTAGTAATCCATACCATAATTAGGTTATTTTAATAAATGCATTGATATAAAACAATAAAAATGAAATTAGTAAATATAAAATACATATCATAAACATATAATTTTCTTTTTGAAATAACGCTTTACATAAATTTTTCAATTCCCTCTCAAATGGGTTGTTTATTCTATAATTCTCTATATTTTTCTACATATTATGGCCATTTTTATCTGCTTTTTTGAGAAAGGCAAAATGGGGTGTTTTTATTTTCGAATATAATAGAATTTCTCAATGGTCAAAATTTTATATCTCACTATTGATACAAAAGTATAATTGCATCCAAATCAACAGTATCTATATGACTATATAAGGATCGTTGAAATTAAATAATATGCAAGAATCATATTGATAACAAAATGTATTCTAATCATGTTTTAATATATCCAAAACAAAATCCTCATAAATATTTTTTGTAAATTTACAATACATGAAAATATGTGAAACAAACTCAGGTTCTTCATTACATAATACCACACATTTCATTCTCTGCTATTCTTCCAATTCTGGCTTTTTGTTTTCAATGGCAAGATATCCCAGAGAAATAGTTAGTAAAATCAGTATTTTTAATAAAGTAAACGAATAGCTCGCAGAGCCATGTGATTCATATGAGGACAGAGCTATGATTGGAGAGAGGCCGTGGTTTGCCATATATTTAGCATTCTCTCGGCTTTCCTCTACCCTTGGATAAATATGTAAATCCCATGCGCAGGCGGTGTGGCTCAACGGGCTAAGCGTTAGGAATAACGCTCGCCACCCGCACCTCTAATTACTCTGCATGGGTCCGCAGGTTCGAATCCCATGCAGGGATGGTTATGTGCAAGAGGATTGCTGGACTCCTCGCCGCCGTTGGGTGATTCACGTAACCGCTGGTCGGTTACGGCTTCCTCCACTAACAAGTCCATGCTTCCGAAAACAAACAATATAACTAATCCCATGCCCGACTTGGAATGGTAACCGGACGAGAGGCCGTGGTTCGCCATATGGATAAGTCGTCTTATCGGCTTTCCTTTCCCCCGGGATAAATATGTAAATCCTTATCCTTATCCTCATTATCCTAATAAATACATAAATAACCGCACCCCACTGGGCGACTGGTTCATATTCTGTACTGTAGGATAAATAAATCCAATATTCATTTTTCATATGTCCATTCCATCAGTGTTTGAGGTGTTGATCGCATCGGCATACAATTCATCAATTTTTAGTATATTGAGTTAGATTATGTACAATAAACGTAAAAAATTAAATATATTAGACATGTTCATTTTAATACATACTAAATTTATACACACTAGATTTATAGTTCAAATACAATTCCTTAGTATTTCAAATTCTCTGACAAAATTTGGTGATTTTCTATTTTTTTCAATGTTGAGTCTGTAAGTGATTGCAGTTTTTATTTGTTTGATAACTAGGTGCTGATTAGGGGTATTACTTTCGAATATAACAGAATTTCTTTGTATCCATATTTTATATCTAGTGATTGAAATTAAATAAACATCTTGTAATGTTGGAATGTAACAAATAGCTTAAATCCAATAAAACACAAGTTTCATAATTTTTCAAAAGTCTGGCATTATTTAAATTCCTAACAGTATTTTCCATGAAATCAAAAACATAATCAAAATATTCACAATTCATAAAAAGATGGCTAACAAATTCTGGTTCTTTTCCACATAACACACACATATCATTTCCTGCTATATTTCTTATTCCAGGTTTTGTTTTTACTGGTAAAATATCCCACATTAACTTGAAATTAAAGGTTTTCATATAGTTTGCCAGAATATTATTATGAATATTCTCACATGCAATATTTAAATTACAATTGCGTAGAAAAATTAATCTGTCCCCAGTCTAAGAAATAACAATTTTTTATAAATAGTTTTATGCATATCTTCTTTTATATCTGTACTACTTATGTTATGCTTTCTTAAAAATTCTAATATTAATCTATACTCACTTTGAGGACAAAATCTATGTAAACATGTATTTTTAGTTCTAATCCCCCAAAATGTACTAAGTTGTTGTCCAATATTGTATTCAACAAAGGACATACAAATATGATTGTAATCCTCATTATAATCACATTCTCTAGCTTTATAATAATCCAAGACACTAATTATGTACATGCACATTGTAAAAATGGGTATGTTAATAATATCATAACCCCCCAAATTTTTTGGTTTGCACAAATTCCCTATTTTCAGTATGCTTCTTCCATTGAATACAAATTTTTCCACGTTTACTATCTAATAGATATGCATTCCCAATAAGCATATGCTCATAGTTGTATGCTTTCAGCGTACCATACTTCGAAACCCAAAACCAAATATGTATTGAAGAATTAAAGACCTCAATACGGTCAATTTCGCACCCGACTCGGCTGAAGCAAGGGATTTTGGCAGCGAGCAATGCGTTTTCTTAATATGCAACGAACCATTTAGCCGGACGACGTAAAAAATGCAGGGAACAATACCAAAATGAGCAAATCTTTGCAAGTTTCCACTCATTGTATATATGCTCATTGATATTTCAGTAGTGGCCAACACGTCGATCATCACGTCTCGAGTCGTCGATCGCGTCTGATGTTGAGTGAATTTAATAACATAGCCTACCGCAAAAAATTGCCTTGAACCCGTTTCATGCAGCGCCTGTTGTGTAGGGTGACCATATTTCCAAATCCTGAAAGGAGGACACATCGTTTGGTAGAGCCATATTATTCCACCTCTGCCTGAGATATATAAATTATATATCTACTAAATTCTCTAGGATTAAACATAGAAGCGAAAATAGACGATGTGACGACAATGCAATAATGCATTCTTGTCTTGTCAACGAGCAACTGTAGCCGCAAGTAATGCACTCCGCTTCGCTATCAGTTCGATCTTTTCTAAATCTAAAGCATGGATACCTGACGTAAAACATACTGTTGTAAACTATTTATGATATGACGTAAAAGATAATTGCAAAACAACACGATTTTTACGTGATAAAGTATGCATTTAACCGAGAGCAGTGGTTCTTAACTATTGCAAGTCTGCCAAACCCCGAACGCTATTGTGCAAGCTCCCTTTTAACCCCATTCCACGGTTGAAATTAGAAGCGCAATTAGAACTTCACAATAGAGAAGGGAATTATGTGAAGGGTTAAAGAAAATGAACATTGTGGTGTAACCTTATAAACCAATATGTAGCGTGGAAATAGTCATTGTTGTGTCACTTATTTCCTACATTCAACCTGTTCGTAAAACTGATCTACAATTTATTATAAGATTAAGAATGAGGTGTTGCGCACGCAATAACTTAAAACCCCAAGGTTTGTCATAACAACCCAAAGTATTTTCAACCTATTTTGTATTCGGGGTTTATTAAAGTATTTATCAACTTATATCGTCACGCTAATAACCGAATTGCGTAAGTCATTTTTGGCGGTTTTGAGTTTTTCATAAAACAGGTATTTATGTAATGCTACGCACGTACACGTGTCCAACAAGGAAATCGATACTCGGGGAAACATCCATAGATGTGAAATCCTATTATATATATGAATTATTCCTACCATATCTCTTTCATGTTAAATTACTTCTAATACGTTGGCTTGTTTTAATGATAAGGAATAAACATTTTTTCCACCAGTTTTTGATTTTGATTTTAATTATTGCGGATACATCGTTCGCCTGGTGATATTGTCTTAGCGTAGACTGGGATCTACATGAATCAAATTCTTGGAGTTTTCCGAATCACATGCAAATAGTATGGAGGGTTAGAAAGGGTGATTTCAGGAAGGGTCGTTTTCTGTTTTTATTCATTTCATGTGTATCATTTTCTATCTTGGTTCTTGCATGACGGAAACAAATAACTGGAATGTATTACTGATGCAATCGTAAATACAACAGCTAATTCAATTGGATTATGAAAAATGATCACATTCCTTTTTGATATTTTAAATTAAGTTAGTTGCATAATTTATTATGAAGCACAAATTTGTGGAGAAAACCTGTTTTAGTGAATGGATACTTCGAGATCTTAACTATGATCTTTCATGCATATCATTATGCACGCATGCATTTTGAATAAATATTCATCCGCAGTATTTTTAAACTTACCAATAAAATATATCATCACATGTTTTACGCAATATCGATTTCATTATAATTGTTGAGTCACATAAGCAGTAAATTTCATGATATCTTTGAAATAAATAATATCAATTGAAGGCATGATATATTTGTGCATATACACTGGAAGCAGTTCCATTTCCTGCATAAAATAACGATGCATGCCTGCCATTCCGTCGCTGGACTAGTTTTGTGGGCGTTTCTGGGGCAGTTTGTTTTTTCGGAGCCTTCTTGTTTCAAGTTTGTCGGTGTTATTTGAATTTTGTTCGCAGTGGATGACGATCGCGCGTACGGACTGGATGCATCTTTTTGTGTTTAAATATTTGGTGAGTTTAATTTCTCTTTTAAACCTCAATTTACAATTTTATCGCAGTCTGAAACCAAAGAGTTTCCTGCGCGTGTACCGGTACCAGTATCATCACATCTCCTTATCGTACAGCTGTATGGCATGGATTTTGACATTCAGACATTTGCGAGTTTACATAGACTATTTACTGCGGCAGTGTGGTACTGTCGTATGTTTTTACTCATTCAATGGTCAGCGCGTGCAGTTATCATGTTATAGGCCTAAAACGAATACCGACGCCGAGTCACTTCCGATCGGAAGTGATTATTCCCACATTTTACCAGTAATCCGTCCTCCGCATAACCACTCCATTGTGCAGTTGTGCCTAGCCTTGTCATGTTGATTATGGCTGTTTGAGAGATTGGATTAATCCAGTCAATTTGTTACTGCAGTACTGTGTTAATAATATACCGGTAATGATATAATGCTACGGTACTTTTCTAATCTGCTACGGTAATGCTGCAACGATTTAAATTCAGAAATTGGGGTTGTTGACTGATTGCAGGATTATGAGTTTATGCCAAGTTCATCATTTGGTAACGTATTATTACTGTATTATCTTACTTTATAGTCCAGATCGGTAAGAATTGAACCAGATCCTCAATTTACTGAACTTGAGATTTAAAGCAGTAGTCTACCATACCAGTACTGCAGTAAGTTAGTTTCTTCAGTTCTTGGCTGAATTTGAAGTCATAGACTTCTCTAATCTTATCAGATAAGTTTGCGCTTGACCCAAGGCTCATGGACAGTCTGCTGCATAGGTATTGCTATTACAGTATTAGGTAATCACATAACTGTCAATGATAAGGGAAAGAGCGAAAAGACAGCGTCAGAGCTCCGGCGAGAAACTCCCGATTGCTTGACAGAGAGTTGTAATCAAAGTTGGTTTGAAAAATAGTTACGTTTCTACTTTTTCTTAATTTGGCTTATTGATCATTACTTGCATTGCAAGACGGTGTATTCTAGCGCACACTGTATGTACACTAGACGAACTAGACGCTATACCTAATAGTCGAGGTGGTTGGATGCGTTATCACATTTTAATTGAGCTTACGTTGGTCAACTGTTGCTATTTTCTCATCGAAGACTCGAATCAATATGAATCCACTTTTTGGGGGTTTTTCCAAATGAGATTATGAGATTCAAACATTGTGCCACAATGTAATCTTTGCAACATTGGGGCTTTCTAAAATATGATAGTTCGGGATACAATATGACTTGTGCTATTCTGGGAATTAGATCCATATATCCGCTGTTAACTGTTCCATCAGGAATGATGATGAGTGTCGTAAATTCGTAATAGAACCATATGCTAGGTATCTGAACTCTTTTTATATTATCGATATTTGGCAAATATTGCTTGCTGTATTTATACCAGTTACTAAGATACCCGGTCATTTTTCTGACGGGCTGTATTAGTTTAAAATTAATGGTGCAATACAGTATTCAGTGTTTAATCATGAGAAATTTTTTTGATATAATGAATTTACTTACCATACTTACTAATTTACTGAATCTCTGCTATAATTCACAAATATACCGAAATGTTTGATTTATTGGCATGTCTTTTATTAGGATACAGACAGTACAAAATTATACTTATAACTGTGAGCACTTATAATTTTAGCTTATACAAGCTGTATTAGGTCATTATTTGCATTAGCACAAATGCCTAGATTTACCAAGGTTGCGTCTGTTTAATTCAATCTGTGAACAAGTCAAATTTCCCTTCAAGATCCCTTCAGTATGATTCTCATCTCAATCAGTTTAATAATGTTGATAAATATTGCAAAACTTGTTTTAGTGTGCTAGTCACCATTAGGAAAATTCTTTATGATTTATTGTGCTAACAGAAGAATCAGGCTTCAAAGTTTAGGTAGCTGTTGACAATTGTATATATTAAATGTAGATTTTTTTTAAAAATATATTTGTACTTGGGGATTAAATGAGTGCTAATGTTCTAATTTAAATTTTTATAAAGATAGTCTTGAAATTACAAAGTTGGTACAGCTTTCTAATTTTTTCATTCAGAATTATCAATATTAATTTGTATAACGAACAGATTGCAGTTTTTTTTTTTGGTGAAATAATAGGCCAACCCTGATGTCATTTTTCAAATCTAATAATGCTTAAATATTTCATCACTCAGGGTTTATGAATATGGCTTATGTAGGCTATATACAAGGCTGTCCCAGGTCAGTCTTTTTATTTGATGTTTTACATTAACATCATTTGTGAGCGTTTGGTTCTGACAATGAATTTTTTTGGTAATATATCTTTTTACCCCTAATGAATTGATCATTACAGATTTCAACATGAACAACATAACTTTAATTAATGGACCGAATCCTCTTGTGGATTCGTTAACCATGAATGCTCAGCATGCCACTCATCAGGTTGCAGCCCATGTTTTTTCCCAATCTCAACAACAGCCCCATCAATGCTCTTCTCCTGCTGTCATCTCAAATTCTAGTCCGGGAACGCCAGCTTCTTACTCATCAGGTATTTAATACAAATGCCAGTTTAAAATGCCAGTTTTAGAACTGTGCGCTGTTGACTTATTTCATAAATTTTGTAATTTAATTAAAGCATAAGGCTTTGCTCAAATCCATATTTGCTTCATATATATGTGCATAACTCATCAGAATATTCATTTGTTAAATTTAATCTCAAAAGTTTATTGTATGAATGAACATGATTGTTTATATTTGTTTTCAGTTATGTCAAGTTCTAATATGGTCAATGTCGGCGGAAGCTTGAGTTCTACACCAACTGATGACGAGTCCAAAACTAATCTTATCATAAACTATCTGCCCCAAACAATGACCCAGGAAGATTTGCGTAATTTGTTTTCTTCGATTGGAGAATTGGAATCATGCAAACTAATTCGAGATAAACTGACAGGATCAAGTTTAGGATACGGCTTTGTAAATTTTGTTAAAGCAGCTGATGCTGACAAAGCTATAACATCTTTGAATGGACTAAGAATGCAGCAAAAAACTATCAAGGTAAACATTTTATACTTGAATAATACATTCTTTTGCTTGTTGCTGTGTAATTTGCTATCATTAATGTGATGGATATATATATATGCCATATATAAATATACAAGAATTTTGAATTTCTTTTCTGTTTCACTGGTGCTTTATATAGCATGGAATAATGTAGAGATCATATTTATAATACGCTTGAATATGTCCTATATTTAGGTTTCATTTGCTCGTCCTAGTACTCCATTGATCAAAGATGCTAATCTATATGTTAGTGGTTTACCAAAGTCCATGACTCAAGAAGATCTACAGCGTATATTCAGTCCATATGGTAGAATCATAACATCAAGAATTTTGGTAGATTTTTGCACAGGTTAGTCATATTGATACGCGTAAGTTTTAAATAAACAAAGAGGTCAAATACCAACATGAAAAAAAAAGTATTCTATTCGTCGAATATTGATGCTTTCTTTTTTATGTAATTTTTTTTCTGTGCATTTACATTTTCAAAAATCGACTTTCATCTATCTAGTATAGAAATTTTGATTTAAAATGTTTTCAATACTATAAGTGCATGCCTCTGCTTTTACGCTTCTCATGCATTATTGATAGGCTTTTGTTTAATGCAGGTATGTCTCGAGGCGTGGGCTTTGTACGATTCGATAAACGTCCTGAAGCAGAAATAGCGATCAATGCTCTAAATGGACTGTTCCCCATGGAGCAAAAGACCCAATCACTGTGAAATTCGCAAACAACCCTTCACAGAAAAATCAACAGGTTTTTCAAACACTGTATGCAGCCGCTGCTTCTCCCACGAGACGACTGGCTGCAACAACACCTGGTCCACTATATCACCAGGCTCGCAATTTCAGGTAAATATCCTATTCATTAAATTTCCGGATGTTGAAAAAACTTCATACTAATAGCCTTGTTTGTGCTTGTAAAATGAATATCATAATTCTAGAGTAAAATGGGTGGTGTCTATTAATCAATACTTCTAACCAGATTAGTCTTTGCTTTTCTGAACTATTTGTGGAACATGCTATGGTGACATGCTCTATCAATGGCCTTACTTCATCTAGATATGTACAATTCTTTCCATTTAAATTTTTGCCTTTTCTATAACATCAATTTGCCACTGCAATTTGTAGTATTTTATATAATCTCAATGCTAGTTTTAGGTTTGCACTCGTGATGTATTGTTCAAATGGTAGTTTATAAGATTTTGACTTATATGGGATCGTATGGTGTTTGTGATTTTAGATCTGGGGTGAACGATCTTCTCTCTAATGTGAATGTGGGCCTGGGGGTTAAGAGGTAATGCGGGTATCGTAAATATGTGCGTAAATCATCATGTAGTGCCATTGTGTATGATCTGTTTGTAAAGTGTTGTGTGCTTCCATATATGTCGTGAGTAATGTTAAAGTCAAAGAGCAAGTTCCCAATATTCATTTGTTTTTTAGTTTTCAACCTTATTTATTCACAGTTCACTAGTTCTCCTGCACATTCATTTTGGGCACTATTTATTAATCTGTTTGGAAATATCATTTTGAAAGTTTCAGTTTGAATTTTTACATATTACAATGCACTACTGGTAATGATTCGGTAGGATTTATTTCAATATTGGATATGTTTATTAAAATAGAGCGAGTCCGTATCCGAAGTAAGGCCAGGCACAGTGATTGCAGCTGGTTCACTGCAGCTTTACAACCTCTGACTTTGGCGCCATCAGCCAGAGCTAGCATTTCCACCGGTACAACTTTCTCGACATTACAACCAGCCTATGCACAGACAGCCTTGCCCGAACAATACGCTTTACAAAATTTCACTGGATTACAGACTATACTGGAACCACCCACCTTGCACTGCCTTCCACAGGCTTGACTTGCAAGGCTTGTCACTCCCCACTATACAACCTGCCCCATTAGCCACTGCACCTGAAATTTGCTCCAGCCACCCTCCGGTTTCTGCACTAAACACCTGCTGTTCCCGTATCACGGCAAACAGCCTCCACTTCAATTGGTGTATTGACAGCTCCCATCACTGCCGCTACCACTGCGTCACCAAACCGATCCCTCAACTTCGACAACCGGTTTCAGGGACAACCAATGGCAGCCAATGGTTAGTTTAACAAGACTTTTCAGTTATTAAGGAATTATCTTTTTTACTTTTTTTCTCCAAAATACTTATTAATAATGAAAGGTAAAGCCATACTTTGTTTATTAATAAGCATGCAACTGGATTGTATATCTGCAATCTGGAGACGAAGCTTTAAAATAGTGAGAGTATAGTTAATTTCAGATTGGTGTTAATTGACTTATTTTCATTATTGCATGATTTTATTCGTTAGCATGGTGCTTGTGCAATTGTGTTTCATGAGGGTTTTGTGCATATTTCTCTGCTTTCTTATAAATTAGCATGCCTTATCATAGTTGTTATTTTTCTATAGTTTTCTCATTTTTTAACACATGTTATTTAATTTGTAATTTTTTGTTATATTTTTGCAATTTCTTTGTGTAACTCAACACACTGTCATGATAGGTATTCAACTATTTCTCCTGACTTATTAACGATGGGCTATGAACAATGCTTCTTCTTCGAATGTTCTTGGACAAGGAACTGCTGCTTTCGGATTGTTGCATATTTGTTTACAATCTTGCTCCCGATACGGAAGAAAATTTACTTTGCAGTTGTTTGGACCATTGGGAGCTGTAACCAGTGTGAAGGTTTGTAACAAATATAAATAAATATTGGTCAATATTAGGGAAAAAAAATAAGGATAGAGATTAATAAGGATACCTGGGTATTATTAATGTTTCCCGAGCATCGATTTCCATTGGTTTATTCCTGTAACCAATAATCCAATCAACAATGAAGTCAACAGACTGACCTTAACCAATTGCAATTTCACTACCACACAGACAGGAATATTCAATCACGGTTTGTGGAACATTGCCTCGTTTTCCGTAGATTTTGAGTGTTGTCAGTTTCATTTGTTTCCAAAATGTAGTTATAAATTGAAAAACTTGTCATTATGTCTTCATTATGCTTTACTTAGTCGCAGTTATCAAAATTAAGTCTCATCAATGCTGTGATAGACCAGCCTAAAATAAACATATCGGTACCAACCTGTAAGCGCACTTGGTCGAATTATTCGAAAGTTTCAACTTCCAAACCCAGTTTATAAGCGGCAACACTCTGCTCTGGGGTCAAGGGTCTTGTAAAAGTTCATGTGTACTGAACTGCAAGTCCTTTTCTCCTTGTTTACTACCTACCTTGCATCCGTTGTGTCAGTTGCCGCAAGGATGCTTGAACGATGTGTATTACTACAGATAAATAGGAACAGCAAAATCTCCTTGCATGATTCCACGATCGTGCCTTATTTTAGCTAATATCCTCGAGACTGCGGCAATAATAAAACAATTTTAGTTATCATTTTGAGAAGCTACCAAGTTGAACAAGACTTGAGGCCATACTTATGTGTTCTATATTAATGCAACCAGTTACTATGTAATGTGTATATATAATCGGGACTATTTGCCAAAACAGATTGTGTTTTTAATTAGGTAATTCGAGACTTTCAGACTCAAAAATGTAAGGTTATGGATTTGTTTACTATGACAAATTATGAATGAAGCAATTGATGGCTGTATGTACATTAAATGGATATAAACTTGGGGATAGAGTATTACAGGTGAGTTGTTTTGTACTGAGGTTGTCACACTTCTCATTTAACTTAGTGAATGCATCTCTTTTTGTCTTGTGTGAAATTTTGGCAAAGTTGGGGGTATCTGAAAAAGATGGTGATGACATCTTGCATTGCCAATATTTCCATAAAATTTGATAATCCACATTTTTAACTTACCGTAATAAAAAGAGGAGGCCTATTTTACGTTTTCTTTAGCAACTCTCATTTACTTCCTTCTATGGCTAACTTTTTTACCTTAGTTGTTTTTGAGAGCCAATACATATCTGCCCAGCTGAACTAAAAGATTTTATTTAATCAGTCCTTGTTTTATGCTTCCACAAATGTTTTCGAATATCACAAACTGGGTCATATTTGAGAAGAAGAAAAATGAGAAAATGCTTAAGAGTTGTTCTCTGATTTGTTCCACCTATCAGGTTTTCAGATTTCACTGCACTTAAGATTTTTACTATAATTAGTTCAAATCGTTAAAAAAGTTTATTGGTCTGCAATTTAAGTAACAGGTTTGATGTTGAAGCTGCCACACCAGATGATATTCCAACATGATATGGCTTTTGTGTGCTACTGCATTTAGTGTTTCTTTAAATTAGAGCAATCATAATTGTCTTATATTAGTATTCCAGGATTTTAAATAAACACTCAATATAGTCGAAGATTTTTACAAATGATTTAAATAAATAAATTAATTTTCTAGGTATCTTTCAAGACTAATCGACCAAATGTAAAATTTACACATTGAGAGTAAGTAAATGGAAAGTCAAACATGAAGCGCTGATGATATATTTCTTTCAAGTTCCAATTTTGTTTCTTTAATAACCCGTACATAATGTAAAGTAAATGTTGCGAAATGCATTAGTATTTATGTAGGTATCATATTCCCAAAGGCTTTGTGTCGTTATATTTCTGTTAGACCTTTTATTACGGGAAATATTGCATCATTTGGGTTAACATATTTTGAAAAATGGTGGGTTATTTTGCCGTGGTGGGTGTTTATTTTTACCAAATGTACTGTCCATAATTAAAGAAAAAATGGTGTAAAGGTTATTGCTAAAGCCCTGTTACAATTTCAAAATTACCTGCTTACAATAAACTTGTTAGTAAGTCTTTATGAAAACCCTGTATATCCATTTTTATTTCATTTGAAATGTGCGTCCCTCTTGTTTTTGGGAAATTAGAAAATTTAAAAAAGGTTTTATGGAGTCTAAATTAAATCATTTCAAATACTAATATAGTAAATAAATAAAATATGTCCATGTTCAAGTACAGACCACCAGGTTACAATTCTTTGGCGGTTTCCTTTGGTGGTGGGTGTGTGTTGAAAATAGTCTAATTTTTTTGTGTAATGATTCAATCAGTTACGAGCTTTGTTTCCTAGCGCACTAGAAACCTGGTAAATCAAACTAAGGAAAGCCATTCAATGAAATATTGTTGCGTAAAGATCTACTCAAGATATTTATATTTTGGGTACTCAAGAATTTCTTAGTAAGAACAGATCTGTTGGGGCAGCAATATTGTTATGTATGGCAAAAGACCATTTGCAAATATTTTAGTCCCCAAGTTCACAAATAACTTATATCAATATTTCGTTAGCTATTGTATTGTTCTCTGTCAGTCTATGATTCTGATATTAATGTATTCTTTTCTGATGAAGCAAATATTTATGTTTGGATATATTGTGCATGATTTTGTTTTATGTGAAGCAGATTTATTGGGATATTGAATACCAACTGTCTCATTGTGCGACAGATTGCCAAATTTTTTGTGACGTCACACTCAATAATTGATTTCTTATTAATTATTAAAGACACATGAATGTGGGTTTCTGCTTTTTAGCTCAATTTTTACGTCCGAAACTTCTTAGCCAAGATTCACTTTCGTATCCTTTTACTAGACCTTGGTCCTAAATTGTATCCAGCCAAGCATAAGTCGTTGAAGGGTAGCCTTTCAAAGGTGTGCTTCAACTATGCCTGTATACTGGCAATTTGTGTGGCCTTGGCATTGGTAGATTTTAAAAGGAGATTTGCGTATTCTACAACTGCATTTCAAACATTTCCTACACCATTTTACTAGACTTACAGTTTTAATTATTTTGCATTATTGATTCTATCGCTCATGAAGAGATTAAACGTAGTCCATGGTAGGTATGCCTACAGAAATTATAATTACATTGCTACAAGCATTCTTTTTGTTGTATGTATGTTCTATTGTATAAATTTTAGTTTATTTACTATTCATTGTGTTTCGCTTCTTTTTGTCTTTAGTTTTGTTCTATGTGACGGATGTTTGTACATGCAATAATCGAATTCGGGTCATTTAATCAGTGTCAGATAACTACTTCATTCTCCATCTAAAACCATTTTTCATTTGTGAACATGTAAGCAGATGTAATTATTTGTAGTGTGTTACTAAATCACACCTACGCACTGTGGATATTTCCTCTTGTATACACAAACTCTTTTCCTGCCTAGCATATGCCATGACATGATATTTACAACAGCAATAGATATTAGATACACACTACGCAATATTACCAATTCCAAATCTTAGTGCAATATGACTGCAGTCTTACATACCCAATACTCCAATCTTGCCACTTTTTTGTTATGGGACTTGCAATTATTTATTTCATCTTTTTTTTTCTGATTTCGGTTTTGGCATATCTCGGTCACATTCTGTGGCTTATTGAGGATACACAATTTTTTGGAGAATTATTTTTTGATGGCCCACAGATTGGCCATGTCTCAGTGTTACGATCCTTCATTGTGTCTCATGCATGTCCAAGTGTGAGTGACATACACAATTATCTAAAATGAATACTAAATGCCTTTGCATATTCGTTACTCAACACGCTCCTCTTATATAAAAATGTAATTTCCTGTTTGTCTTCAAACTTTTCGATGCTGCAAACGATTGATTAATATGTTCCTTTATTACTGTGATGAAATTTTCAGGGATTAGGCGTTGCTGTGTCCATCAATTGAGACTAAGCTTTTATTGTAATTTGAGTGAACTCTGATAATCTTGTCCATGAATTTAGTTTGTTTGGAATTCAATTTGATTTACGAACTTATGGTGTATGTTGGATTTTACATATTAAAATTGGCATATTATTTTATCAACATGGAATTATATTATTCAATGATATACCCTTGTTTACATGTTTAATATTTTTTTCCCCATTATGTGATGAACTCTATAAAATACCAAGACTTGGGATACTATCGAACCCCAAACATTGCATTGAAGACAGCAACACCTATGCCTTGAAATTAAAAAATACTGCCTACAAATGCCATTGTGACCAAATTACTTCAATATTCAGTTATGGATGCCTGATTTTTTGTTTTAAATTTTTGTTTCTCTTCAAGTCCTCGATATTAGACTGTGCTAGGAAAGACTGCTTGTTTATACTTCCGAATATTGCATTATTATCATCTAGCCTTATTTACTTTGAACTTACTGCCGGCGATCTTTTTGATTTCTTCATCAAAGCGTCAAAACGTTCCAATATCTGTTATTTTCTATTAATATTATTGTTATTTTCTTGTTTTGTTGTTATACCCATTTCTTTATTCTCGTTTGCTACGACCTGTGTTAATCATTATTAAACGGTTTCTTTGTACCCAGAGTCAATCACAACCGGGCTCTTGTGTTGTTTATGTTCTTTTTTGAGTTGAAGATTTGCCAGGCAGGTTTCAGTTGAGATTTTGATCATTCGGTTCAGTCCACCGTCCTTTGAATTTCTTTTTTACCTTTTTCGCATATATGCAGCTTTAGAATTCTCTTCACATTTTTATTTTTCATTATTTCCGTTTTTCATCAAATTGGGTTCAAGGTGCGCTTCTATTCTGTATTTAACACTAATTTATTCACTGTGCCAATCGCTGTTCGGGAATTTAAATTATACGTGTTCTTATTGTGCCAATTGTTATATTATCGGTCTAGGCCGCTTAAATAAATTTTTTTTTTTTAATGAACACACATTTTTGCCGACAAGGGTCGCTTTTTTGCACAGTCTGTGCTAAGAGACTGTTCTTTTAGTCTGGTTTGGAGCGGTTTCAGTCGCTCGCCATAAATAATTTATGGATATTGAGGCTCGGGATCGAAGAATCTATCAATTAGTTGTAAGACTGCTCGTGTGATTGTGCGTAACTTTGTAGAGCCAATTAGGTGGATGCAGTTGTCTAGTCGTTCGTTTAGTGATAAAGGATTGTTTATTAACTACTTGACAAATGTGGAATTATGGTGCTTGTGCTTTCAGTCAACGACGAGGCGGCTGAATCATCGGAAATAGTCTTCATGACCTGACGCCGAATACCAGTCATCTCCTGCCGGGCTAGCAAATATCTCATTTCCTGTTGCGATGTTGCTGTCCCGCAACGAGCAATGTATTGAATGTGTCACTTCGGCTTACGCGAGGTATAATTAGTATAACACTCGTGCCAGATCGTTTGGTTTACAGACTTTACCCCAGCTGTTTCGCTCCCTGCGGTAGTACCTTTCCGATCCCCGGTCGCCTCGTTCAAAAATGATAATAAATACGTAAATGTTTATTTACGGATATGCAATCCCCACATATCGGTGACCTGTCCACATGTATATATCATTATTTTTAATTAAACAACTCCGCAAGTGACTGTATAGCAAAATCATAGGTCCATCAAGTCTTTTGATGGGAAGGGTCTGAGATATAACATATCTAATTGCAACGTGAGGAGGAAGAATGAAGTTTTGTTCGCTTTGAACTTTGGTTATGGAATCGTCACAAGTGTCTAGTTATCGACCACTCCTTTTCAATTTCGATACGACCTCCACTCAACTTATTGAACGGCATGCACATCATAACTCACGTTGATTTTTAGACTTCCAATAGAATAAATACACATGAAGGTTTGATTTTTGACTCCCTTGTAAAATACACCGCCAACCGGCGTTTCCTAATTGTCTTTCCTATCATCTAATTGTTTTCCATACCTTGCTCAGCATTACACTTTCTTGAGAGTTTATCTTAAGGATCTTTTGTACAAATTAGTAATTATCCCCCGAGGGTTTGGAATGCAGATTGCACCGGAAATTCAACTCCAACTAGATAATTACAAATTTGTTGTTTGAAAACATGGCGTGGGTGTTTTCTCAAATCTCACATTTTTTACATTAGTGGCGGGGGGCTTTGCAGTTTGCTTCGCCAACTGATACTACTGGCTTGTGTAACTGTGAATCTAAGAAACTGTAAAGAATTATTATATTTTATTGCCAGAGCACTACACATATATAACCAAACATTTAAACTCATACAACCAAACACATAAAAAGTGCCATCAAAAGCAAACTTTCATTGATGTTTATGATTGAAGCATGAGCTGTCGTAGTTGATTGAGTTGTACTTTCAACTTGAATAATGTCTGCTTCACCGGAATCTGGATGTGACAATTCAAAAATATATTAAATTTTTTTTAAAAGAGTATAACAGCATTCAAACGGGTTGAAATGTTATATGTTGTAATCAGCTGCTAATTTCACCAGTAGAATGCATCTCTGTTATTCACATCGTTCCTACTTGTAAAATGGAGCTAAATCGTATTTACATACCATCACCAAATATCTCAATCTCCTGAACTCCTTCCTCTTGTTCCAAATCTTCAGTGATGGGAATATCTTCCAATTCTGTTAAGGCAAAAATTCAGTTTATCTAGTGATTATGTCCTGAAATTAGAAGGCGATACTGAGTTCCAGGCTTTATCACAACAGAATCAGGTTCTCGAAAACTTGACATTTCAATATATTTGTTCAATTTCATCTAAACTATGGTGCGTGCAATATATATATCACCTTTTAGCCTATAACACTCGATGGATTGATCAAAGTAAGCTGTATCAAAATTAAAAGTCAAAAGTAAATAAACGAGAACATCAGACGGAGACCGAAGACTTATCGATCGAAAGTTAGGGGATCCCCAAAACAGAAACTGCAGATTCATCCGCTCTTACTCCATAGTGACACCTTGTGTCCGATCACTAATTAATCCAAAATCAATAGGCTTCTGATCCGAGATATGAATGCACATGCAAAGATATCGCGTGTATCTAACAGACAGACAAATAATTATCAACATACTTACCGATCTTAAGATCGATATGTAATAAAAAAAGGGAGTAATACAAGACTCAATGTGTTTCACAATTTAACATATCTTTTAAAAATACTCAAACAAACATAAATAGAGATCATCCAAAAGAAGTATTGCACTTATTAAATGAGAAAACTTTATTGCGGAAAAGTAGAAACTCCCATTTTAAAATTGACTTCCCTAGAACTCTTAGCATTGTTATAACACTATAAAAACCATAACAGACAACATTGAAGAGAGGATTTATATTCGTGGAACAGAATGAGATCACCATACCAGCATCTTCTCCATAGACTGCAAGTCTCAATGCATTTCTCTGTTGCGCATATAATTGATCAAATATTCTCGGTGTCATAAGTGCAGCAATATTTCCAGCTCCAGCAGCTAATATCTGTGTTTCATTCAATCCATCCTGTGAAAAATAGAAATGCGAAAACATCAGTCACTGTTTCAGTGCTTTTTAGCTTACGGCCATTACCAAACAAAAAATCACTGAATTATAATTGACACACAGATGACTTCTCTGGTCTGCATCATCCAATGCTGGGAAACACTAAACGGTGCCCCAGAAGTATGCACACCAAGATGTCGCACAACCTGAATCCTAACCGGTACACACATACTATGTTCAGGTTGTGTGCCATCTTGGTGCGCATACTTCTGGAGGTCCCACAAACACCCTTGTTTTTATTTGGACTTCAATTGTTAAACATAAATCTTATCAATGAACTTACATTTCAGTCACCCGCTGTTATTTATTTATGAATTAGCCAATTTTATTGATTATTTAATATATGTAACTCCCATTGTTTCACACTGATTGTTTAAATATGGATGTAACTGCTTTTCTTGTTATAGTTGAACTATATATGTCTGAAGAAGTCTCGGAACCTTGGTCAGACCAAACGTTACAGAAATATATTTGTGTTAGTGTGCAGCATGACTCTTGAATCACTGGTAAAATATTTGATCATATTTTGGTTATGTTTAAACAAAATCTCATTATTTTCCGTGGCACACTTAGCGACTCGCTGCCGCACACCCTTTGGGAACCACTGATATAGAATCTTTCAATCATTCTTTAATAAATGCTTTGTTGATGTTAAAAAACAATCGGCCAACCTGGCATGCGTTCAAGATAGCAATCACAATATACTAGCTCAGCATAGCACCGCTATAAAATATTCCACATCCACAGTACTAGATTTGGAAAAGGTTGAAAATATTGACTTTATCATTACCTTAATTCTGCTGGGTGTCATCAGAAGAAAAGCAGACGGAGTTATAAACGCAATTGATTCGACTGGTAAAGCAGATAAATCCCCACTTGATAATCCAGCTGAAAAATACCAGGATAGATTGAGTAGTATTGTGGTTTGAGTGATAACACATATGCAACATGCCAGTATTTTACATCTGTGGCAGATTGCTAAAATTTATATTACCGGTACTAACATTGGTTTGCAAGTCTAGTCTAGAATACTACACGCAAAAGTGATAACATCAAGCTAAATATCCACAAGCGGATGGAGCATTACACAATCTGTCAAACAGTACAAAGAATACTATAGGAACTTACAAACTTATATTGTACACAATTGAATAAATATAACACTGTTAGTTCATGCTTATTAGCTGAGAAACAACTCAAAAATAAAACAAAAAATAAAAAACAACAACAATTTTGAAATTTAACCAATTATTGCAGTCCTGTATCCGACCTTCACTTACCAATTTTCTAAATCAATAACAGCAAATTTTTTGTGAATATGAAATACCTGCTACTGTTCCCATTTCATCTAGTTCAGGAGCAGTGGGTACTGTTGAACCATGTCCTAACATTGACATTTGCTTGATAATATCAAATTGGGTTTGACTGAAACAATCTATTGCACCTAAGTCCTTTGTAGAAGACCTGAAAAATGGATGACAACATTGGTAGAAGAGTAATAATAATACATTTGAATATTCATTGATGTAATGAAAGTAATAACTGGCCATCCATCTCCTTGATATCATATGTTTCGAATTTTATAATTATCTATAGCAGGGGTGGCCAACCTGCTTTCGACCGTGATCGACTGATCGGAAATACACAAAACTACACACAAGCATACAAAAAATTCTGCCGCTGCCAATAAGATTAGTTCTTTGGGCGGAATCTTAATGAAATCGCCAAAAATGTTTTTTATGTTCCATTCAACTTGATTATGTAATTGTACCAGAAGTCAATGTTTCATCCTTTATTTGATATTTATTTAAATCATACAATTCAGATCCAACACTTGCCTAGTTTTTAGTTGTAAGTGGTATGAATTTCTCAAGAATCATTACCAGGTATCTATGTATTATCTAAACAATTCCTAAACCATAAATGTTATATGACTGCTCAAACTTCAGTATCTAATTTACAATTTCCTCTGAGTCCGATTGTTCGCTCGCTTGGAATTAGAAAAAATCGGACATACTGACTATCATTGCGAATAAAATGTATCACACTACTCTTAGAGCGAGACAATAACTTCCGAATACTGCAGAAGGTATTGTAGGATACCATGTCAGTCAAGACATACAATATTCGGCAAGATCATTTCTAAACCTTGGCAGCAGCGAAACTTGCATTTGTTATGGGATAATATGCTCTATCCATCTTGCCCAGACTCAAATACTATAGGTGTATATCGTATTTTGCGCACACAGTACTGTATTAGTCCCTATACTATTATACTGTATATAGTACTGTATTAATACACAACATGTGCTGCATTTAACCCTCTCATTGAAAAAGGTTCGCCATCGCTGACCTAATAGTATCCTAGTGAGTGTTCAATTCTTCAAATCATTGGAATATAAGTTAATGTACTTACCTCAGAACATCTGAAGGTATTTCGATCAACCTTTCGGAACTTAAACCACATATTAAACGGCCAAACCCAACTAATTCACTACTAGATATTGTTCGAAGTGAGAGTCCATTGGTTCTCAAATATGAATCGATGAGTAGAGATCTCTGTTAAACAATAAAACACATACAATAAGAAAAAACTGTTTTCAGAGGTTAATTCAAAAAAATTCTCAATTTTATTTCCCACTATCATCACTATATATTTTATTTATAAGTGATATACAAAGCTCAATTTCATTGAAACTTCCGGGTGAACATATAAAAAAGGTGTCTTTTGTAAATTGCAACGAGACTTAAGGACCAATTAGATAACATATACCTGCAAATACAAAACAGATACAATACTTCGAGTAATAATTATTAGTGGCTCTGAAGTCATTTGTATTTACATATATACTCTATGCTCCTAAGTTTCACGGGTCGTAAAAATACTCACTACGTTGAAGCTTGCGGTATTTGTATATGGAAGTCATAAAAGAACCTTAGAATGAGTACCTTCCAAATTTTTAATTGCTAAAGTGCGGAAAGCTGCACAACATTGTACTCTTCCATCTGTACAAGCGACATTGTAAGCCTACAGTTAAAACCGCAACATCAAAAATATGATTTTTCATAATGACTAATGAATTTCAGAAAGATCCTCAACATTTTTTTTCACTTCAGACAGTCATGTTATGGTGACATTATAACAGTACCGAAATAAAAATCAGCATAATAAGTGCATGATTGTTCTTCGTTATTTTAGTTCATTCGTTTATTCGAAGTTTTTTATCTCTACAATATCAATTTTATATTTGTGTGTGTAACAGAGTATTTAATTAACTATATCTCTTAAGTTATGAATGTAAGATGTCAATTGTCAAGTATATTTCTGAATGGGCGTTCACGACTTAAAAGTTTCAAAAAACCTTGCTTGATGCAATGTTATCGAAGGCATGTGATTCGTGATTGTATTTTCTGCAATCCACAGTTAAGAAGCAGCGATAACATTTGTTGGAGGATAGTTCTGGCTGAATATACCACTATAAACCAAGGCAATATAGTATTAACCAAAGAAACCATATAATTAAAAAAATAATATACTTTTACCTCATCGTTTGTAAAATCAACTTGAGAAAGTGAAGCGCAGGTTTCAATATCAGAAGGACGAAGCTCACTTTTTTCTGTGTATGACAACCCTTTGATTAGATATTGAGCATCAGCAATTTCTTTACTTTCCCATTCAGATGGTTTTCCATAAAGCTGTAGAATAGTGTTGAAAGGATATTTTTAATCAACAATCATCACAATGTGGTTAATAGAGAAAACAATTGTGCGAAACACGCAGGTTCCGGTATTTGATAAGAAAATTGGGGGAAAAGGTAATTAAGCCTAACTAGAGATTTTCCATAATCACTGATACTAATCAAGCAAGGATATTCCACGAATTATTAATAGTAGGATCTGCCACAAAAAGAAAAATGATTCATACAAGCTCAGCTTATATTCATAGAAATAAATTTATAGGTTATAAGTATGATTCTACCCGGAGTTTGTCATATATCCAAATTCCTTCTTGAATTCTGTAGATACAATTCACATATTCCTATAAGTTGTTTTTCTATTCTACTCAAACAAAAACCTACTTCTTTCATTCTCGAAACCAAATTGTCCATTTGCTCATAACTCCATTTAGAAACACTTCCTAAAGTTTCCAAAGAGTTCGCAAAATCTTCATCAGAAATGGCAGACAACTGTTCAAGTGACCAGGCAACATTTCCGGGTCCCAAAATTACGATTTCATCATACTTTGGTGCAATAACTACAAATATTTATGCAATAGTTATATATATTAAGTCTGAATATGTACGTCTGTGAACATTAGAAATAGAATATACCTCAACAATACTTATTAAAATGCTTTTACCACATGGTTAGGCTTTTTAAATTGGAAATAATGCATAATTTTCGAACATTGAAAATCTTTCAAGGGAAGAGGTATATAAACATAGATGGGATAATTTATAAATTAATACTTTATATCCTCTAAATCGCAGACAGTTATTTGGCTAATTCCTTGAAATTAGTCAGAATTTTTATTGCTGATCATGCACAATCGATTCCAATTCTATTCTCTCACATGGTATGATTGAGACAATTATTTATTAATATGTAAGTTACCTTATGAATTTTTCACTGCTAGGACAAAATAGAAAATTATAATATTTCATTATGACCCATTCTCTATGATGGTAGATACCCAGGTTTTGGTAATTACAACAACACTACCTTCTCTCTTCCTTCTTCGAGATTCAGTTCGTTGTGACATCACAACATCAACAGATTTATTATAAAAATCATCATATTTTATTCTGCCATAAGCAGACATATCTTCCGATACTTCAGGTGGCATAATATCATCAAGAAATTCATAAAACAACTCCTAGATAAAACCAATATCGGGCGATAGTGAAACCATTTTTTGGGGGTTAAAAAATCCTTTTTCAAACCGCTACAGTAAACATTATCAAGTATGGTATGAAAGATCAAGTTAAATATGACATAAATCTACAGTCAACTACATGTTAATAGGAGATACATTTCAGTTTTTCTTCAGAATAATTTACATCATGCGACATCAGAACAATTTACGGCAAAAGTGCTAGAAAAACTTCTGTGACAAATGATGAAGTTTTTAGCTTTCCTGGCCAACCAATTATAGTAGATTTAGGGCAACAAGTTGAATTGATATATTCTTTTTTATACAGATATATTGTTTAATGTCAATAGAATTTCTATTACCTCATCAAAATTATCGATTATTGTTTTAGCAAGGGTAGATATAAGAGGGCCAAGAGTGGTAAAAACATCTTCTCCCCACTGTGACGAATCTCCTCCATATCTCCCAATGATGAAGGATTCAATGTATGTTAAATGTGAATCATCTAATCTAAAACATAATATAGCCAATTTATTGAAAAATGCTGTTTGTAACCTATGGCAGAAGGTAAATCATAGCATTTCACCTATGAAAACAATCACGTAATGTTGGCAGTCCAGCATTGAAGCCATCATCAGAGAATTTCCTCCATTCAACAATGTCCATATCACATATTAATTTTCCTAGGGTTAATACTTCACTTTCTCCCAAAGCAGATGGATCAAAGCTCTTTTCTTGCTGAAAATGACATAAACTAGGTAGATGATATTCTATACTGTATGCAGGTTTTATCATTGTTCATTATAGATATGTATTGAACACCAAATTAGTTGCCAGAAACGAATTGCGATTCATTACTAATGCTATATGAAAAACTGTAAAGGTTAATGGTAAATTTCAGTGAAACCACAAACAGTTCGCCACACCTAAGAATTTTTCTTCCAACCTGGGACTTCAATTCAAGGAACAAAGACTTAGCTGCACCATGTAATGCTGTGTATTACATTTCTTTAAACAAATCATTTTGGTAGAGCAACAAGAGCGGTCATAAATAACCCTACACCAGATAGACAAAAAAATTCAAAAAATGTTGAGGTTGAGACATGAACAAATAACAATACAATAACAAGCATACCACACAATTAAGTGATATATTTGCAAGCTCTTGTCTTTTTATATCACCAGTAGTACCAGGTAGAGTATCTAGTTCAGCACTTCCTATATTTTCCATAATACTTTGACATGCCGTTAAAGGTATTCTTTCCAATTCACTGCAAAAATGAAGGTATGGCGGAATGAAGGTGGTAACTAATTTAAACTCTAGTGACCATTCCACGATAAAAAAGTAGCAAAAATTCATACTTGGTGGGCATCATCATTGCAACATCTTCTGGTATAAAAGACAATGTAGATGATAGTTCTGGGTCAGTACTATTTGCAATATAGTCTATACCGTTCATTACTTGAAGTGCATAATGAAGTTTTGTTGAAATACATTCTTCCTGTAAAACAAATGATCGTCTAGATTTAAAGATACCCTTCATTTTGATTTTAAATTCTGGAGCATTGTGACAATAGATACCTGTGACAACACACAGAAGCAGTGGAAATACAAATAATAAAGTTATAAACATAGGAGTAGTGAATCCCGAGAGTTTGTTCTGAATATTCATATGATTACCCAAAATCAATTTGGTCTAGAGCCTTGATAAGAGTAAACACTAATTCAAAATAGTCAATTTATTCAGTCAGCATAATCAATGAATGAGTCATACTAGATATGACAAATAAATTTTTAAACATGCATATAAAACAAACAATTGAATATAGTATCAATTTATTTTGAGGCTCCATGAAACTCTTGACTTCAGTCAGGTAAATTGCTCTGAAAAACTTTCTCGACAAGAAGATACTATTAAGCAATATCCTTGATTTACAATAATATAATAAGCTATACTCTCCTTCCCTTTAATTGGAAAAATGAACAATAATTGTTTCCCTGGGCATGGACTTCCTTGTTCATTTTCTTAATTAACCTTGGAAAATCAGTAAAGTGCTAAAGTGATGTAATAATTGAAATTTTCTTTGGATCCCCTCAGATATGTTTTGAACTCAAAAAATTTCGAGGTATGCTTGAGACCTTTTTTTGTCATTTTGCTATCCATTTGCCAGTTTTTAGACATGCTTCCAAATCCAGATACAAATCAATGGCCATTCTGTTTTTTTGGGAGTTCTAGTTTAGTTGCAGTGATTGAAAAGTAAGACAACCATTGTTCATATTACCAGAACTACCGATTGTGGCACATCACATGGATGATATTTTCTGTGCATGAACCTTGTATAACCTGCATGTTACAACCTACCATATCTAATGATAATGTTCCTTCTGTTTCCTCATCTAATGCCTTTGCTCCATCATAAACTACATCATCTAACATTTTCATAACATCCATACATGTGACTCCCAGTGATGCTTTGCCCATTGTTCTAAACATTGAATTTTAAATTCAAATTGCTGGTATATCTCATCATTGAATGGTTCATGTAATCGTTGGTGAGTTACAGCCCTACATGTGCACTAATCAAATTCACATCTATTACCGGTAGGTTTAATTGGTTATCTTCCCCATAGTCAATCTGTACTAAGAAGATGATACAGCATGATTCACAATGTAATGGAACCTTATTCTTTCTGCTTCCTTTCTTCTAACGTAAATATAGAAAAGCTATCTGTATTGTACATCAACTATACAAAATAAAATGATGAACTTCAGAATTTCAAGAAGCATAGATTGAAAAATATACCTGATGTCCTCTACTGTCAGTGCACCAGTCAAACCACTTTTTTCCCTGAATTTTTTAACAAGATTTGCAGCCTGCAAAAGGGAATAAATTTCTTAGACAAATCTCTATAGTTATAAACTTTATATATACTGGTATATAATTTTTAATTACAATTGGATAAATAGAATGATTAAACTTCCTAAAACTCACTATCTTCAAATTTCAATTTGTTTTGTTAAATCATCAGTAGTTTATTTTTCCACCAATGCTAATAGTATGTAATGTAAAGATACAGTGTAGAATACAATAAGAAATATCATTTCAGGGTGATCGATGACAAAAAAACAATGCTGGTTATCGAGCCGCGACACCATAGATGGAGTCACACAAATGGCGGAACACAAAATGAAAAAAAATAAATAAGTAGGAAGTCGAACTAAATATATATGAGAAAGTACATTAGGACGACTTTGTATATTCAGAGTTGCTCATTTGTTTATTAAAAGAAAAACTTTGAGCGCCAACAAGTGCAACAACAACCACAGTAACAGCACATTAGAGCCACTGACAGCAGATTTGTTAAATTCAAGCAACACTTAGATAAATGTATATTGCGTTATTTTTTTATACCTGTCCACGTCTCCATGGTTTGTCCTTTATTTTTTCAATTTCTATACTATCAAGGCTATCTAAATCACTGAGTGGTATTTCAGTGACTAAATCACCAAGATCTGCATTCATGATATCAGCAACTCCTCCTGTATTAAGCTGAAAAATGACAGCACATTACATAATAATTGAGTATGTAAATGTATGTGTGCACATTTGTTATGAAAGGTTACTCAAAGCACACAAAACGTACTCATTCAACAAAAAAGAACTAAGCTCATCATTTTCATTTATTAATATTATCATGAAGGTGTTTCAGAGGTAGAGGTTATATCATTTTCGGCCAACAAAGTATAATGTTTTCCACTATTTCATATGTAAGATTGGTGATAATTTTTAAATTCTCGTTTTACTAAATTAGTCAATAGATAGGTGTTTACAAATCAGAATCTTCAAGTATTAATGTGGCTCTCAAAGTATGGGAAAAGATTTACCGGTAATACAGTATGGCACTAACCACAAATGAATAGTAGATCAACAAATACTTGGATATATTAATTCATCTATACTTAACATGACTTGAAGTGCGGCTTAATTTCATCAAAACATTACATCGTATAAACCTACCTTATCCACAATTGCTCTCTTCTGGGCAGAAGATAAAGAATCGGAATGTTTTCTGAGTTCACCCAGACTTTCTTTTAATCCCTCAACTGACAATTTCTTGAATTCTTTAGGTGGGACACTTGATACTAATTCTCCTAAGTTTGTCAAAGAATTTGAATCTGTCAGTTCAAACCCAGCTGACTTTATTTTCTCAAAAATTTTACGTTTCTAAAAAACAAAAGTAGAAAGATTGAAGTTGATAATGGATGAATGCATTCAATTCTGTATGTGAATAGCTTAGTCTTACCAATATTGAAAATTTGTAAAGTTGATTTGAATATGACTATTTTGTGTAATAACAATTTTGAAGCCCACAAAAACAAATTTTTTATATCGATACTATCGTAGTAACAAAATTAAACATTTCTGTTTTATCGCTAAGTTACTTCACTGAACCATTGGATAGTTCTAATAGGGTTAAACAATAAACGCAGTATATCTCTCTTGTTTTACAAAAATTGAAGTATCGTTTGTTTTTTGAAAATAAATTTACCTGTCTTTTAGTCAGTTTAGTATTATTTTTCAAAACATCTATGTTATCTAAAATAGCTTGTTCAGGAATTTTGTCAATATCTCGAGGTTTAAGAGCACCAATAGCACCAGCAACTTCTCGAACATCACTAGCTTTCAATGTTGTTAAATCTTTATCTCCAAGATAAACATCTACAACGTCTTTCATCATCTAAAAAATATAGTTTTTGTTAGATAAGCAATATACATATATAGGTATGAGATTCGATCACTGACCTCTAGTTCTTTGATATTCATTCTCTTCATTTCTGCTTTCTTAGGTTTAGTTGATGTGATGGTAGTAGCAGTGGCTCGTTGTTGTTTTTCTTTCTTTCCTTTTTTAATTTCGTCTTCTAGTAAGGCACATCTTTTTAGTCGCAATGCAGCGTCACCAGTACACTGGAAATATTAATGAATTTTATTATTAAAATTGAGACTGTGAATTTGTGTCATATTATGAAGAAGAAAGGAAATGTGTTTTGAAGGCTGAGGTGTGTTCCCCTGTTAATGCGAGAATTTTCTTGTGGATCAAGATATGAAACCATGTCATTCTCACAAATATGATGATGTTACTGTAGAATAACACTGCTCAAAACATGGTATGGAACATATGTTTTACACCATAAGTCAGGGGTGTGCAACCTATATTAATACAGGAGGGCCAGATACATATAACTGGTTAAACCACGAGCCCATGACTGCATCTTTATTTAACATAAGCTTTCTGGTAGTTGCAGGCACAAAAATTTGGTTGTTGATCCTATGACATGCGTTGTTCGTTTCGCACAAGCTAACTGTTAGGGCATTGTAACATCATAAGCAGAAGATAATAAATTGGACTCAGGATTGAAATTACTTGCACGTTAATCTAAATTAAAAACTTGTTTCGCGGGTTGCAAACCATTCAAAATTGGCATTTCTCCACGGGCTGCACAATTTTTTCTTGGTGACCGCATGTTGCACACCCCTGCCATGAGTCATCTCTAATGACTGCCTAAGATGAGAATAAACCCTGAACAACAACTATTCACTACACCCTTATCTTATCTTACCTCTTTTATTGAATCTTCCAATTCTTCTTTGTGGTTTTTACAATGCTTCATTGTGTAATCAAACAAAATTTTTAAGCTTGCGGAATCCATAGCCTTTTTTACACGTTTTAATCTGATTTCACATTTTGCTCTTCCCAATCTAAAAGAAATTGTTCGAATTTGAATTTTATCTAATTCTATAAATTAAAAATTTTCATTATCGACTGGAGTGGGGACTATGCAGTTACGTATGTATAATTATAAACTAAAGTAGCATTGAACAACCTTGTATGGAACATACGAATAACTAGTTCGAAACCTGTAAAAGTTATAGGAAGTAGAAGTAGGTAATAGGTATGATATTAAGTTATACTAACTTCTGCATGAATGCATCATCACTAAATTTTGATACATCCTCTTTCGTAGTAGATTTGACGATGAATTTTGCAACTTGTGAAAATTTGATATGTGAAGTATCCAGTCGCAACAAAGCTCCACTCAATACAAATGTATTAATCTGTAGAAATATTTCAAGTAATCCATTACATATTGCATTACTCTTGTGTGTATTGTGTATAGCAGACATGCGCAAACTACAGCCCGCAGGCCAAATCCGGCTCGTTGGGTAGTTCAATCTGGACCCCTGATGCTGCCACAACCAAACTAAAACCAAATTTTGATGTTAACCTATGAAATAGCGGATGGAATTTGTTGAGAATGTGATTAAGTTTAGTTTTGTTAAGAGGCTCATTGTTTTTCACTTGGGCTTTTGTAACACTGTAAAATTTTTTCATAAAATGTAACTTTTACGTCACACATACATGGACCGCCAGTTGAAGCGGGCAAAATTTTTGGCCCCTGGTCCAAAAACCGTGCCCAGCCCTGGGCTATAGTATTGTTTGATATTAATACCATAGAAATTTTTCTCAATAATACTGTTTCACTGCTTACATGAAATAAAATACTTCTAAGCTCAGCTTAGGTACATTAATTGATTGTATGGTTCCGTCAAAAGATATACCGTACTTCATGGTTACTTGCACTCACATCTGACATGGTGAATGCACTTTGCAAACGACCAAGTGGTAAATCAAGAAGAAAATTTTTCAACGTGATCGCCTTATCAACTGTTATATCTTCTTTCTTCCACATAGTGTTGATCCAGTTGATCATTTGTTTTCTGTGAGCTTTATCAAGATCTTTGTATGAAAGGTCCATACAATCAATTCTGTAAAGTTAGAATAATTCTTTCTAAGCTTTTTCAGATTCAAGCGCAAAAATAATCATACACAAAACACAAACATTGAACACACAGAAGATTGGGAAAATCGGGGAAACTGGCAAAACCTTTATAAAGGTTTAATAAATGTAAATATACATGCGCCAGTTTACCCAGGTGTTTAAAAGGCGGTGTATCGATGTCCTGTAAATGCTGTTGCTAAAATGTATTCTGATGGGACTGGATTTCGTGGTTTTTCTTTGTTTATTCGTTTAGGTTGCATTAGAGTCGTGTACAGAAGATTGAGGGTGAGGAGTCAGAGCCAAGATTTCATTGTTTTTGGCTGACTCCCCCATTTTAGAATTGCAATATATCTTTCTGATTTGACTGCTATTATGAGACTTTTCTGGAACTGCACGTCCACGTCCTCTCCTTCTTCTATATTTCCAATACAGGCATTTCTGCTGGATGATAAACTTGCGTCATTGGACTGTCAAACCTATTGTGTTGTTTTGCAGCACATGGAATATCTTACAGACAATTCTAAAGACTTGATAAACATACTTATTCGTGAAACCGTTAAAATAACATGTAGATTTTATAAACATTTCAAGAAGATTTTATAAACATTTTGTCCTTTTCACAAAAAAAACTTTTGAAACTCTCCAACTAAGATTTTGTCTGGAAACCACAAAAACGTACTAAATTTCAGATGTCATAAAATTCAATTATCATGTTATCAATAATAGCTTCATTTCTTAACAAATAGTATTAGTTATACACCAATATATGAAATAAAATCTTACACTGGGCCGATGTAGTTTACATCTTGCGGAATATCTATGATACGACGAGGTGGAATTCCAGCAGAAAATGGACACATGCAATCAAGGAAGGATTTCAAAGCGTCTTCTGGACCATTAAAATCAAACTTGAAAAACTTGGCGCTCACTGCTTCTTGGGTACTAATAGGGGGTCTCCAGGTTCCATCAGAACTATTCTATGAAACCAACATAAAAATATGATAAAAATATATAAGTTAGCAATTACTTTAGTTCACTTTACTAGAAAAAGAGTAAAATTTTAGGATTCACATATGCAAAGAACAATGATCATAATTATCTGGGCCTGTAAACCAATATATGATAACATGGCATCAATATAATAATATTATTACAATACAGCCATGACCATATCTTAATTATAATTTTTATTATTAATTCTTATAAAACTAAAGACAATAAAATCAAATAAAGACAAAAAATAACATCATATAATTTTTTTTAAAATTAACTACGGTATAACATGTTGATCAAACTCCTCTCGCTTACCATTTTTTCTGTCATAATTTCAAGAGCCTCTTTAAATTGTTCCATGGTAAGTTTATTTAATGTTCTTGAAAGACTTTTTGGATCTTTAGAAACTTGATCAGAATCAAGTAATATCGCGAGTTTTTCTGATGACATTTGTTGAATTGCATCTTTCTATTAGAAATATATGTATATATACCATTAGAAAATGATTATTTAATCTAAAACAAGTTGATTTTTGATAACACTTAACTTTTTTAATTTTGCCAAGCCAATCAATACACTTGTGTTTTTATCAAAATAACATATGTTTTTAATATGGTGGAAGTACATACAAGCTGCAAACTATGCTCAAAAAGTGGAATTTATCTAGGGGCAATATACATATTACATAGGTACTCTATTGCAGGGCTACTGAAATGGCAGAATGCGGTCCGAATTTGACCCGTCTGAGTATTAACTAAGGACCGCAGCTGCTTCTTGATTTGGAAAGCATCATTTTTTTTATTATTTTACATTTGTGATGTAATGCATTTAATCGCTGAACCACTGAAAAATTGTAGTTTATCTTAATGTTATTTTATTTATCTTAATGTCGCTTAGAAAAAAATCTTCTTTCTCTAAAGCTAATATATTCTTAATTTTCAGTCTTAAAGGTGATTTGAGTTGCTAGAAAGCTTTTTAATATATATATTTTTCAAATTTCTTACAATCCTGAAGGGTAGAATATTTCATATTTATTTGGAAAAGTCAGTGGTCAGCTACCATGTTTCCCCGAAAAAAAGGCTGGGTTTATTTCAATTTTCTTCTGAAAAATAACACTAGGGCTTATTTTCGGAGGATGTCTAATATTTTCATTAATAAAAAAAAACAAAATTACGAAGTAGAGAGTTACGAAAGTCTTTTTAAAGTCTTATTTTCAGGGTAGGTCTCATTTTCGGGAAAAACAGTAGACAACTCAAATATTGTCATACCATTATCAAAGCGTGATATTTCTCCCGTATTTTGGTAAACAATGCATTTTGGAGTTTTGTTTGCATATTTAAAATATAATTTTTAGAATGACCGGACCCCGATAGTTTTTGGGTTTTGTGTATGGACCGGACCCTTGGTGAAAATAGTTGAGTAGCCCTGCTCTATTACATAGAATGTAATATGAGATTTAAAAAAATGTTTAGCATTTTTACAAAAACAAATTTAAACTAAACACTCAAATATTATTTCATCCAGAATAAAAAAGATCCTAAATATGTCAGAAAACCTCTAATATTGAATAATTCTTCTAGGGATTGTAAAAGAAGCATCATAAACATCAATCAGCATTTAATATAATATTTACTTTAAGCCCTTGTAATAACTTGAGAGGAACTTTGCCAATATCTTCATCAGAAATATCATTCAATGAACTGTCACCTTTCATTACTTCAAGGATTTTTGAATTATCAGCTGCAGCAGAGTTTATCCTGCACAATTAAAGATAAGAATTCGAAATAAAGAAGTGATATTCAATTATAAAAGGTAAAGATTATTTATTTACCGTAATAATCAATCTATTAATAAATTTATTAGAAGTTAGTAATATGCAAAAATATACTGTGACTGCTAGCTGTTGAAAGGCATACTATTAATAAGATGAGAGCCACAAAGTTACTTACATTTCAACGACTACACGATCATTCAAAAATCTTTTATCTGAAAAATACAGTTACGAACATCACCAACAAAATGAAAGTCTGCATTTACATTATATTTGTGATCCAGAATGTTTATCAAGGTTTTGTGGTTCAAGTGTTACAGACCAGTTTGTTAAAACTGATTTAGTCTAAAATCTCTGAAGAGTGTTACTTGTTGTTCACTATATTTTTTACCATTACTTGCATCTAATGGGATATGGGCTTTGAGCACAGCAGCTCAAGCAGGGTATTGATTTTAAAAAGGATAATTTTGATCTGTAAGAGAATATTACATGGATCTAAGTTCAAGTTCATTTTCAATTGACATTTATCGCACCAAATATCTTAATAGACAAGGAATAAAAACAGACATTCTAGTTCAATGTATCAACCAATATATACTGATTAGGTTTAGATCGCCCTATATAAATATTTATAAAGCAGAAGATCTTATGAGCCAATAACAGCCCCATATTTGGCACCGCTTGCTATCACCTGATTTTATTTAAATCAGTATGTTCAGATCCAGCATATTATGACGTTGCTTTATAATATTATTACATAAATTTGCTATCAAAAGAGTTTTATCTATCATATCATCGCTGAAAACAATTTAACAATAGAAAATAATACTCAAGAAAAAACTGGCCTTTAACTCATGAAGTTTTAATAAAAAATTTTCTCTTAGTGTCGACATATTCATTTGTGCAATTGTATGTATATTCATGATGCAAATTGAATAAAAATATGACAAAATGTATCATTATCATAATTTTAATGTTTTACTAAACATTCGAATTAAACATAACAAATTTATCATTTCTATTTTCGAAATGAAATATTCAATTCGAGGTACCGGTAATACCAGAAAGTATTGTCAAATTTTTCATTAAGTATTGAGGATAAGTTGAAACTGTGCACACCAAAAGTATCAAGATCCTTTTTCGTCAATCCTCCAGCCAATGGTGGTGGTTCTGGACGTTTAGCCTCTGAAACATCTTTCAATCCAAATGCTTGTGATGGTTTTGTCTTTGCTGGTTTAGGTTTTCTGAATGGACTCTTACTTGGCATTCCACCTCCCCTAAAGTGTCAGAAAATGAAAATTGCAAAGCGACTAGCTTAAGTAATAGCACAACAGGAAGCAGGATATATTGCAAGATAGTATAATGTAGAGAGATACTGTGCATTTTCTTCTCTATTCATCATTGCTATTGCAAACATTGTCATCTCAACAATTGGTATCGTATAATGAATAATTATACTTTTTGCTTTAACAATACAGTCCATCACACATGTTTTCTCTCTAAAATGATTGACTCACATGGCAAGAGACATTTGCAACTTTTTCATCATCTCTTCCATCTGTTGCTGAATGTCCATCATTGCTGATTCATCAAAACTTCTTGAAAAGTGAATAAATCCAGCATAGACACCTGTATTAAATTTTATATACAATTGATATAATTATCTCGTTTCATTTATAATAGTAAATGTACTGTAATTTCATTAAATTATATTACGCATCAGTGGTCGGCAAAATTTTGCCCAAATAGTAAAATGGAATAGGTTTCAAGGTCTAAAAACTTGTTACGTGACATTTAATTTGTTTAGTTGAAATGAACGTAACATATGATCGTTTGATATATGAAAAAAATCCACCTAGCAAAAATTGATATGTAATGTTGTGTATAACTGCCATATTTTCAATTTATCGGAGGCCAACTAGAAAATGCTCAGCAGCCCACGATTAGCCTGCGGCCCGCAGTACCGGTATATGGTGTTTGCCTGTTACTTAACCTCCAGAAAATTAGTTTTGAAAAGTATTGAGTGAGAGTATTATTAAACATTTCATTTGACAATCTACTGGAATTTCAAATTGCTAACATAGTCAGTTAGCATAAGCAAGGTAATGTGTGTCTTAGTGATTGAAGTATACATGCTGCAGTATGAAACATTGTGATGCAGCATTTACATTCAATGTTTCCGCAAGATATTGGGAAAAAATTATTATCCCGCAGAAAAACGAAAAAATTTAATTTGAAAAAAACTGAAGTTTTCTGAAAATGCTTTTAATATTCTGAATCAATGAATAGTAACAATTTATTCATCCATCTTGAAGGTTGACAAATTTGAAGTAAAATAATGATTTTTGAGGATATTTAACAAAATGCTGAAAAATGTTCATAAGCTTTAGCTACATCTTATTTTATATATACAGTAGCAATTAAGTAATAAATAACATAATATGATCAAATATTTCATGCATTTGATGAATGCACAAACTATATATTAACATATTCACCAGCATTTAGCCCAAACGAAGCTGCAAATATGGCATTCTTAGTTCTGTTGCTTAAAGTGTTAAAAATATCTTGTCTTTGTAATAATGTTCCTGCATTCACTGTGCCGAGTCGAGCATATTGTTCATCATCAAACCCAGACTGTAACAATATGAAAAAACATAGACAAGCGAAGTAACGGAACTGCAAATAGTACTACTACTTCCCCTCAACTCGGTGTAGCACAACAGTTGGCGCATCATGCCGAACATTGGGAAGCTATTTGCCACTCGCACTGATTATTTCGAACAGGCTCACAGGTTCAAATCCTATATGTGTATGGGATAAAAGGATTGCTGGACTCCACGCTATCCTTGGATGGTTCACGCAACCACTAGTAGGTTACAGCTTCCTCTATCGTCTGGTAACCTAGACGTCAGGCCTAGTATTCCATAAGTTTGAACTGTCATATCGACTTTCTCCCACAGGATAAAATTGAAAATCCTATCCTCTCTAAAAGTTATTGAATTACAACCAGACTGTCCTATCTAAAAAATTACTTCCTAGACCAGTGATTCCCAAAGTGGGCGATACCGTGCCCCCGGTGGTCGAAAACGATACAGAAGGGGGGAAAAGTGCGATAGGGGGGCAGAGCCTGTTTTTGTTCGGCGGCTGGTGTATTGTGCACTTGATTACTGTACTCTGCGTGCATTCGCAGGTTTGAATCCTGTGGGCGATAATCACACGTGAGAAGATTGCTGGACTCGTCCCCGCCTTAAAGTAGTTTGCGTAGCCCAGCAACCTACGACCCACGGGCCAGATTCAGCATGCGACGCTTCACTGAATTATCGCAACGAAACGGCGGTTTTAACGAAGAATTAATTTTATAATCTTTGCTCGAGGAGTAGATTATATTTTTTACACGTTTAGACTAAATTATATTATAACCTAACAATTTAGTGAACAGCCAGCTACTCATTTAACGAGCCTACAATTTAATTATAATTAGACAAATGCCAACATGCAGAAAAGTTGATGCTGAGTGCCGGGGTTTAATAGCGCAGAAAATATTCGAATGAAGCTCAATGAGATGCAATGCAATGAGGAAATAAAATTCATATTCTATTTAAGAGATGCATCACTGCTTAATTTTTATAAAAATGTATCTTCTTGAAGAAAATCTCTATCAATATTTGACAAACCATGCGAAAAAATTCTCTTTGATGTTTGGAAGTACGTATGTGTGCGAACAATTATTTTCGAAAATGAACTTTACAAATAACAAGCAGAGAACTACGATTAGTGATGCCCAATTAGAAAATGTTCCATCTTGGCTTCATTCAGTGTGCCGCCAATGTTGAAAAGCAATCAAGCGTGATGCAGCAACAAGACAGTGTCACATTGAATGTTATTTGTAATTTTTTCTTTTTAATAAGACGACTGAGTCGAGTATTAACTTTCAAAAAATATGTGCGGCCCGCCAAGACTTGCAACCCTTAATTTTGGCCCGCTAGCGACAAAGAGTTGCCGAACCCCTGGCGTAGCCGATGGCCAGTTACGGCTTCCCTCACCATCAAGTGCATGAATCTGAAACAAATAAATGGCTGATTAATTCTACGAACTGATGGCCGTGGTTCATGATGAGGAATCAAAGATGAATTTTACTGAAGATCGTTATGATGTATTTTGGTACAGGTTATCAGGCAAGTACCTGGTGATTTTTGCAGAGGTAGAACCTTGGATTCTTTCATTTCCGACCTCTTATATGGTGGAAAAGGGGTTTTCAGCCGTGACACTATTGCTATCAAAACAATGAAATAGCCTTTCCATTAGTTTAAGATTGTGCCTGATGAAAATGTCACCAAATAATAAACGAGAATATCGGTCAGAGACCGAAGACTTATCGTTCGAAAGTTAGGAGATCCCCCAAAACAGCGCTCTTACTCCATAGTGACACCTTGTGTCCCATCACTAATTAATTAATTAACTCGCTAATTATACTACATAATTCATCCAAAATCAATAGGCTTTTGGTACGACATATGATGAAAGCACATGCAAAATCTGGAGCAGATTCAATCTCGCTTTCGTGAGATATCGCGTGCATCTAACAGACAAACAAACAAACAGACAGACAAATACCTATCAACATACTTACCGATTAAAATCGATAAGTAAAAACTCGCAGAAGACCAACAAGCTCATCCATCTTATTAAAAAACACTATGAACTATGATTTGTTTTCTTGTTTATTTGGTCATTTTTTATAGTGCCGGGGGGCGATGAAGTTGTATAAATTACTGTAGGGAGGCGATGGTACAAAAAAGTTTGGGAACCACTGTCCTAGATCTCTGACAAGATTTCATACTGTAAAAGCGTAGATTACCGTAAATAACAAACTCACAATAATACGGGAAGCTGGAATAACTTCAAGAGCTTGATGGGGAATAAGATTGACATCTTTATCATAAGGTGAAATAACTCCATCTGAATTGGGTTTACCAAACTTAACAAATTCATTCGCAGTGAAACCCGCTGAAATAAGAAAATTGAATATACATTTTACCTATGTTGTACCAATGAACAATAAGTTGCTGAAATTGAGAATTTACGGTTCAGTGAATTTACCTGCTAAAATACCCATCTCTTGCAGAACAGAACCATCAATACCATTGAATATTTTGTCAAACTTCGATTTGTATAAATCAATTTTAGTTCGAGAAAAACAACGTAATTTCCCAATTTCTCTCAATGCAAACCTAAAAATATGTAAAGCTAAGATAATGATGAATGTCAAGTTTCCAAGACAGAACAATTCACGGCTTGGCCCACTGTTACTGGTTGAGCATAATTGAGACAGATATTAGAATTGAATCTAATGAATGACTATTGATATTTCAGGAGTATGAAATATTTTTGCAACCTTCTGGAAAATAGCTTTATTAAGAGGAGGAGGGCATATGAATCATACCAAAATCATCATATAAACGAAACAATTTTTTTATGTTATTCAAAGTATAACCTAAAAAAGTGCGCATTATTCATGAATATGGTTTCCTTTACTATCTCACTTGAGAGATTCTGCAGTAAATTCATCCACTTTGAAAATATCCAATAAACAATGCATGTTTCCGATGGCAACCAACTCAACTCCACTGAGATCTCCAATATTTCGGTCACCAAGGTACATTTCCAATACTGCAGTAACCTTTTAAAAAATACGCAAATATAAAGTAAAAATAAATATTTTCCTTGTGTTAGCCATACAATGATATATACAACCTTGCAGACCTGTTTTATATGTGGCTGCATTTCTAGACTATTAATTCTTCTAAATTCACTAATGCATGATATTATAAACATAATGTTGCGAAGGTTGGAAGATTACAAACATGAAAAGAAGTTGTGTTCTGCATTTAATCACACCGGGTGAAAAGAAATGGTATACCTAATTTTCTATAATACTTGAAAATGTTGAAAAATTCCCTAATAAGAAAAAATATACCGAAGTAAATAATCATGTAGGGGCAACATCTCTAAATCATAATAGAGTAGTTTTACTGAAACAAATTGTGTACTTGTGTTGCATCTTTCCAATCTGCACGTCCTAACACGGCAAGTGTTTCCAGTTTTGTGATTTCAAATTTATTTTCGATTTCAGTTCCAGTGAATATCGGAGCTAATCTTCCCATTTGTTGGAGTAGATCATCAGAATACTTGGAGATACCATTCGTGGATGCATACTGCAAAAAAAATTAGTCAGGTGACACATGTTATATTTGATGTCATTCCATAGTCACAATCCTGGTAATGATCAGCTTTCTGAGGTAGAAAATAAAAATACTGTATTTTCTAGCCAATAAGCTGACTTTGCAAGAAGCCTAGGTCAATGTTTGCACAAAAAATGAGGGTTTCAAAACATTAACGCTCAAATAGCCGAAGCAGAAAAATTGTGTTACTTTTTCCTCCATCCATCAGTTAAGCAGAATTTTATTTTATTGATTTTATTTTACGCATTTGGTATTTGGTATTTTACTCATACCAAAGCGCTTTGTTTTTATGATTAACTACACATGACAATATTGATAATTGGTTTTGCTCGTGATGCACACACAAATGTGACAACATCAAATTTAATAAAAACAGCATAAATATTTTAGATTTTAATGCCAGATTCATGAAAGCTGATAATAAGCCAAGCCCTGAAAAAAGAAAATAAGCCCACATTACATTCCCACAATGTTAATGAAATCGCACAAATATAAAATAAATAGCTTACAGAAGTTATCTTTTCTTTCAAGGCATCTTCACTGGACGAGGATAATTTTTTGTTCATCCTACCATACAAGCCAAGAGCTGACATCAACAGATCAGAAGACACCAAGTCGAATGCAATATAAGGTAATGCACCCGGTCCAAGAAGTTCCAAATCATCCAAAGTTGGAGAATCTGAAAAAAATTGTTTGGTATTATTATATGATTAACTTTGTCAAATAATACATGTAATTGTGCGAAAAATGTAGGAGTATTGTGAGTATAGAATGATTTAATGCTGCATAGAGTTTGAGTCATGTATATCAATGTGGTTAACATAAATGATTCATCAAAGATTGAACTACAAACGAAAACAGGGTTTTTAGGTTTATATATTTTTTAATATATTGGTTGACAAATATAATATTGCAAATTGACATTTGTCTTTCAGCTTTACTGGGGCTGAATATCATCTGAATGACAGCGTTCTCATGTTTAGTTTTGCATGAGCGATGTTCAGTTTGATGTAGTGGTAGTGCTGACTGTTGATCAAAGCTGATGCAGAGAATAATTTGCATTGCGCACTCAGAAGTACAGCTCATAAGAAGTTGCAATAAATTGGAAGGGGCATTTTCAAACCTTAAAACACTTTATCTTAATTATATACAGGATCAGGACATCAAGCATCAATACCTATTTTCAAAACATATTTTGGGAGCTTATCGAATGCACAGTTTAAAAACAATTAATACTATAGATAAACCTACCCAAACTCCACACAGCTTGCACTGCAGTTTCAAAAAAGTCTTGTCGTTTGAAAGGAGTCCATGATGTATTGAAGACAGGAGGTCCGTTGTCTTTCTCCTCGCCCATCATACCTTCAAACTTATTTAAAAATATTGAGTATTAAAATTACGCACATCATTATACAACTGATAGTCAAATGGGTATATCGTGGATTCGAACTTCATGGAGATGACAATATCCTAAAAAATTGGAGACAGTAATACACCACAACATGCATTGTGGAACGTGTGATATTGGGAAGTTCAGACAATGTTAATTTAAAATTTTAGATACCTTGAAAAGAGAAGCAACATCAATCATATCACTTGTTTTATCTTCAACATTTCGTTTCCTCTCTGGGGGTGGAATCATATAATCATATGCAGATATGAAAGTGTCCTGAAGACAAACATTAATTAAAAATTTTTTCTTGTAAGATTTTGAAACACTCTGTTTGACTAATTATATATATACCAAGGCCATCAAAGATAAATTGAGCAACTCATGTTACTGCTTCTGATAGATATATGAATTCTTGAAACTATATACTCTATACAGATTGATAAGGACTCTACAGTTGTTGTAAAATTTACTAGAAAGTAGGACTAGAAACTTCTTTTACTTCGATATGAGCAGACTGCACAAATATAAATTGAATTCTCCTGAGTAGGCCCAGCAGCCTAATAAATATGTCATATAAATATTTCCGATCTGTCATATATATCTTTATATTTATAATTAATAGAATATTGCACAACAAAAGGAATAAGACCTTTGGTATACTATTCAGTGTAGATTTTGAGAACGTTGACACAAAAGGTCCTAAAGTCTGTAGCGTCTCTGTATCCCAATTTTCTGCCTGACCAAATTCATTCAATATTTTTGTATGAATTTCTTCCAGTGTTCTTTGTTTGACACTAAATTAATAATCATGATTAATATTTATCTTCTAAAAAATGACTAACCGAAATCATGCATTCTAAACAAAAATTACAATTCTCTAAATGATTGTAATAAAATTTATCAAATATAATAAATTTCCTCTCGCACGGAATGTCCTATTCCAGCTAATTCTATCCAAATGACTTCATTTAAAACTTGATACAGTATATGCATACAAATACAATGATACAAAACTTACTAATTTAAGCAAGACTGCATTTGAATCAACAGCTCAGAGAATTCTGATGGGTCCAGATATCTAACTTGAATAGGTGTTATCATGCACAAAAGCTTTCCCATCAATTTAAAGTTATCTCCAGGTAATTGATTCATCATATCTTTCATGAACATCATTCTTTCATCGTCATAAACCTCAGATTGCCCGGTATATGAGGTATCGATCATTCTTGCAAGCTCAAAGCTACTTGTACTATTATAATTAGACATTGTCTGCATATCACCAGAAAAGAAATCCTCATTTCCTCCAAAATTCATATCAAATTCTGGCGGGGGTCCATGATATTGTCTTGACTAAAAAAGTAAAACTCACATAATAAAGAATTGTGTACTTTCAAACACAACAGGGCTTTTGGATAATTTAGAAAATCTGTTTCGATGAAGCGTAGCGAGTGATTCAGGGTAGATATTCTCAGATTTGAATTTCTTGTTACCTCTTTTCGCATGTATGAAAACAGAACTTGGTATAGAATATTATCCCAAAATGAAAGAATGACCATGCAAGAATAATCGGCACTCTAAAGGTATGTGTACCAATATGGAGGTACCGGTAACTAATTTTGTTCATCTAGTTTACATCAAGTCGTAATGGAACTAAAATAAGAAAAATTGAAATAAAATTATGGCCTAACCCAAACTTGGTACACACACTACCGGTGTACTGATTAATCAGCTGTGAATTGCTGAACTGTTGAACAAGGAATTTATTTATTGATTGATTTATTTTACAAGTTTTATTTATTGAAATCATATTTTAAAATAAATGAAGTTATATTTACCATGCAATTAAAAGCTTCTATAGCAAGGTCCTCTAATAAAATTCTACCGGCAGCATGAGGCAGTAATTTGTCAAGTTGACTCGAAACACGATTGTAAAAATATTTACAATCACGAATCCCACGTACCGTTTCCGAACTGTCAATATAAATGGCATATACTATATATCACACTAAAACTGTCCAAAAACGTGCATAAGATTCAATGAACAAATATCCATCGAAAACAGTGGATGTTAGTTTTTTAGTATGTGAAAGAAATTGTATGGTGTCAAAATTTGCTCTCTGGCAATATTCAAACAGATATAAACATAACGTAGTTTGACAAATATCAAAATTTTGTACTGTAACACGCCCATGAAAGATTTTTTCGATGCTGTAAAAAAAACTTACGGGAAAAAAACTGCAAAAATAGGTGGTATCTCAGTGGACATGATATGTGATATCCTCTCAGGATTTTTTTTATATTTACTTTGCAGATGAAGAAATATTTTAAGAGCAACACATTCAGCCTGAAATAAAAAACATCAAAATTAGATTAAAGTATTTATTATCAGATTAGAAATACAAAAAATTGATAAGTATTGGAGGCTGATAAATAAATCATGTAATGGGAGATTGTTTTTAAGCTAAATGTGGATGTTGATACAATCCAAAATAAGTTTTTATTACAAAGAATGATTGAATGTTTTGAAAAAAATATTGTTCATCAGTAATGTTCTGTCAATGCATTATACAAGGGTTCATCAAACTGAGCCATTAGCACCCTTAGAGGCCACCAGCAAAAGCCTTTATGAGATACCAATTGTAATGACAACATTAATTTAAGGTGATATATGCTACATGATACATCATATGATACATGATGAAATGATGTTAAAAGCAAGACTGAGTATTTCTATTGAAGAGCAGGGAACCACTGTATAAAAGCTCGAAGAAACATAAATTCTACTTTCAGGCAAGTTGGTAAACTTAAATATGGGTAGGTTCAAGTTCAATTTCAGTGAAAATACGATGGAATTTTTTTTTCCATAATTCCAGACTAGAAATTTGTTTAGTCATATATCTAGCCCTGTCTAATTTTTTATCTAAAAAACATCTGAAAAATAAAATAATCATCATTCTCCTTACCAGGTCAGAGGGAATTGATCTTCCAATTTGATTTTCAAGAGCGTTAGCAATCAATATCATAGATCCCAATCTCATCCTTCTAACATCATGACAAGTTAAACTTACTGCTAGTTTCCCCATTTTTCTTGAAACAAAAATTGATTGAATTCATAAACACTCTCTTTATTATAAATAATAGCTAAAAACAAGAGATAAATTAAATGACTGGCAGGGAGGAATTTTAAGATAAAGAATCATACATAGATAGCCGAGGTATATGTGTGAATTTTTTTCAATACACTTTTAGCATTTACAACTTGCAACTACACAGTAATTTATGATGATAATTTTCAAAACAGGTAAGATTTATCATGTAGAATATATTATAAAGAGTTGGAGACTAGATACCATACTAAAACTGTCACCATAAGAAATATTCTAAACATGACATGATTATTTAAATATATTTCAATTTAACACCTAGCCTCAACTGCTGTGATTCAAAGCAAATAAAGGTGGTAGTAAGGTAACAAAATTATACTTCTTGAATAATACACTTATCCAACATCTATGAAGAGGCCCGTTCCAACGCATAAAAATGACCCATGTCACTAGCATTAATACTTTTATAAATGACCTGATATATATTGTTGGCATCAATTATTGAAGCCTCATAATGTTGATTCAAATAAAAGTATTACCTCACATCATTCAATGTTACAGATCTTGAACTTCCAAGAAGTCGAAAAGCCTGAAATATGGTGCAAAATCAATAAAGTCATAATTGTATTGCTAAAGTACAAAGTGTCTTAATGGCACAGGGAGTTGTACATTATGCTGGCAAATGTGAAGGAAATATTATATAAAGAATACTTTTCATCTTGATGTAACAAGCTGTCATGAACACAGTCAAACAGCCTCTGACTGAATTCCTTTTTGTAGATGAGGTTTACAATAATAAATACTATTATGTAAAATTACTTAGTCACCACATAAAAAAGGCCAAAAGAGAAATCCATCTATTCAGTGGGAGCTACAAATATATTTTTGCGATGAAGATGCTAAAAATTACCCGTTGTTCATCAGAATTAATCTTTAAAAAAGAAAATGGTGGATGAGCAATATATATTGTAATATCATAGAAAATGATGCAGATGTATATTGATCCAATATATATGTTAATAATCCCGGACTAGAGTGCCACATAATAAATATGCTCCACGTTGAAAAACTTGAGTCATGTTTTTCAGAGACTCAAAGTAACTCTGGCTACCTGAGCAAAATAACTCAACTAATATCAGCAATAGACGATAAAATAATTGAAAAAACAAAATAAACTAGAGCTGCGTGCAGCTTTAACAGGCTTCCCACGTAAAAAAAAATTTGCATTTTATTGCTAGCTGAGAACTTCTGCACATTTGAGGTGAATTTCAAGTTTGTAGGACCAATTTGAAAAAATAATAATAATAAATAAATAATAATAATAATAAAACACAGGAATACAATAGGTTCCCTGCTGACAAGGTTCCCTGCTGATTATAGAATCGGGAAAGCAAACGAAACCTCAAGTAAGGTTTGAAGCATACAGATTTTAGGTGGGAAGGTATTGATAAAAGGAATAGTATGTGTTCGCTCACCCAAAAACTCAAGTTTACAAAAAATGTGATTTATAACATCTACTCATATTGTAATGAAAATGGACTTTGGACTAGACTTGTGACTCTGGAGTGCAATCACTCGACTTGAACTTTAAACTCGCCTTAACTAACAAATAGGGGTTTAGGCACCCATAAGGATGAGCTCATTAATGAAATATGAAATTATGAAAAAAGGGTCAATCCAGAAGAAATATATTGACACAAAATACTCAAGTTTTCTTGAAAAATACATTAATATATATGTGCTTAGTTTCTAGATGCATTTACCACACACAACTATATAGTTTAATAGGCATTAGTAATAACCATGCGTGGGATTCAGCCGGTTCGCACCGGTTCTATAGAACCCTCTCACGGAATTTTATGAGATCAGCGAACCGGTAAGCATTACTGGTTACTGTCAATGTTCCGTTTGTAACAGAACCGGCTGAAAATAAATATTTTTGTGAAGGAACCGGCTGACAAAAAATTTGAATCCCACCACTGGTAATAACCCCTGTAATATACAAAAAACCTTGGCTAACTAACATTAACCAGTTGTAGGCTTTTGGGTAAAGTTTATCAATACAAAGCATGATATTATTGAGTCATATTCATTCTTGCCAACAAAAATCAGAGTAAGTTATGATCTTGTTTCCTACTTATATAAATATCTAAAATTACTTGATCTCGCTTCCAATTCACAGATGTGATTGTGTTCCGAAACGTTTCATTGGCATCAATATTTATTCCATCCAACTTGTAACTTGGAATTGTTGAAGTGAGTGATTTCAACCGGCCAGTATTCTCCAAAAATCCAGCAAAATTCCCGGAAAGCTGAAAAAAAAAAGTTTTACAGTGTCTTCTAAATTGGTTTACAGTTTCACTACTTTGAAAAAGGGCAATATTTTTGAAAATTTAAACATTGGAATTATATATATTTTCTAATGCTCATTTATTTTAAAACTGCAAAATTAAAGTCTCTCCTAATACTTCACTAATTATTCAATTTTAGGTATTCACATATGCTAGAAATGAATCAATCATTGTAAATAATAATATACCATTATTATTGATGGCATGGGCAAGTCTGATAAATACCTTGTCAGCAATTGCAACTCTATTTATAGAATGCATTTTTTGCACAGCTCTTGGACGTTCTGTGACAAAATTTGTTAAATTTCCCCATGATAAATCCTTGAAAAAATCTGCTGGTAGTTCACTTGCCAGGCCTCCAATAGACATGAGTGAAGTGTAGGAATCCTGGATTAGAAAGATACATTGATAAAACTTTTTTTTAGGTGGTAGTAACCAGTAGATGAATCCTTATTAAATTTAACTTTTGGGCAATGGACTTTCTAAGTTTACAACATCTACAATATTCAGCTGAATTTTAATTTTACTTAGTTTTGATGATATGAAATACTTACCACGTTGCTCTGGGAAAATAGAAAATGAATTAAATGGACTCATTTGACTGCCACTACATTTCTATCATCAACCCTAAACAACCAGAGATTCTGTGAATCAGTATGAGACACTGAGGAGTACAGCAATCCTCTTAGACATAATCCTCCCTATGTATAGATACAATGAATCCTAATTTATCGTATACTTTCTCAAAAAGCTATCCAAAATTTTTTTAACGTCCGTAAATCTTAAAGGTAGTGTAAATATTATTCTTAGTTCTACATGCATCTGTTTATGCTGACAAAAATATTCCAGTTAACACATTTACAATCAATTGATAATAATCTTCCAGTATGTTTCTTGAAAATCATTTTAAAGTATACCAGCTTTACCAATTAATTCAGCTTCGATCTATATTATTTTTTAACAATGATATGTTCCTATGACTTACAATTCCATCTCCCAGGATCTTTCTTACTGCTTCTTTTTTCTAGAGAGACCAAAACATAACTGTTAGTTACATTGATCAGGCATGTTAGGAAAGAAAATGCAGCTTAGATGAAACAATAGGAAAAGAAGAAAAATGTTTACATCTTACCTGATGTCTCGTTAAATCATCAACATCTCCAAATTTACCAAATTCTTGAATCATTTCATTTGATGTTTTTGATAAAATGTTTTTAAATTCATCACGTAGGTTGACTAATTTTCCTTTATCTTTTTTGTGTCTACCTCCATAACCCTAAAGGAAAAAACATTGGTTCATAAAAATTGAAAAAGGTGTGACACACATCCAAATTTTTCGAAGAGAAATTGGAGTCGATTCACATATTTTATTCCTTTTAAGGCTTCTGAATAACCTACACATATTGATCATTTTGTACAGGGTGGTCCAAACCCAGGCCCGCGGGCCACAAGTGGCATCATTGTCTGTGGCCCACATCGCATTTGCTGGTATAAGGTAACCAAAAAATCGCAGTTGGTGTTATCTTGTCTTTAAAATAACTATAAAAATCTTATGACATATTGCTACATCACTAACGTCATTAAAATGGCTCTAGTCACTACTGAAGCCAGTCAAAAAAAAGAAGTGATATTGGTAGTGTGTTGAATCGTGGGCTTGGCTAGTCTAAATTGTTAACTAGCTCCAGTCATTTATTCGATTTCGACAGCCCTAAATCATTTTGAACTTCCACAAATTGATAATAGATATCTTTTCTTTCGGAAACATCCACTATTGATATCCAATAGGGTTCGTAGACAATTAAAAATCAAATAAGGAATCCATTAGCTTAGGTTGGCTATGCCTACTGATAGCTGTTATAGTCCCAACAATATGCTTCCTGTCGCATCGTCGTTTTGTAACCAGTTTAAACAGTAAAACAAAAATTACTGCCTCTATGTCAGAAAATTTAGTAAACATCATTTGATGTTGCATATATATTACCCTCCTGTACCTCGCATTTGCTGAAATTTAATAGTCAATAATTCCGCAGTCATTTGCATGTCGTTTTGTGAACATGAGTTTATAAAGGAAGCTGACCAATTCAAACAGATTTTTAAACTTGATATGAAAAAAAAATACTTTTTTGTAGAAAAAAAGGGTGAGCCACAATGCTGGGTATGCCTGCAAGTAGTGTCGATGCCAAAAGAATATAACATAAAATGGCACTACGAAACATGCCTTAAATATCAGTATGGCCTCAGCGCCCTCAGGTACAGACAACATTGGACCACCCTGAATTTGTACATGAACTAATCGTATTATGCTGAATACAATTTGAATTAGAATATGATTCACTCATGCCTAATAGGACTACAAATATATATCACTATTAATTATTATAATTTGAATTATTTTGGAAACATAACACTGAATTTTTCATTTCAGTTTATTCTGCAATTTTGGATACTAATCAGATAAATATTTTAAAATAAAATTGAGAGTTACCTTAATCCTGTCCAAACCTTCATCAAAGAGTCGACATCCTCTGTTTCGCATGCATGTTTTTGCCTAGATATATATATTGTTGTAAATTATAAAATTATGATTTGAAATCAGAAACATAATTTTTAAAATAATTATTATACCATTTCAGATTTTAATTCTCTCATTCGCTTCATTGTGGGATCACAAGTATCTCTGATCACAGTTATGCTATCATCCGAAATATGTACAACTTCTCCTTGTGCTGTATATCTACGCAAAGCACATGAAACTGGACCCAACCTGGTGTAAACAATAAAATATAGAATTGAACACAATTTTTGAGCATATAATAATTAATAATATAAATTTAAACATTTTTAATTAAATTTCAATTCTCTAAATTATGTTGCATATTATAGAATGAACATACAGTGATTGAAAATTGTCCACTGAGGTCTATGGAATAGTTTATCACCTCCCTTGACCAGGGTTTTCCAAAATGTGTGCTGCGGCACTAAAGGTCTTGAAAGTATGCAGCTGAGTTTTCACAAAATCATTGAGATTATTCCACGATAATCAACAAGAACATTATCATAACATAACAATTGAAAAATGAAACTCTCATGTGGCTGTTTGTTTAGTAGTTTCAAATTTAGAATTTAGAAGGAACATGTCATAATTAGTTAATAAATTGTGATTGCTCAACAAATGGATCACACTTGACAATGGTAGATAAATATATTCATATTATAGAAAAAATTAAAACTTAATGAACTGTAATTGTTGAAATCATACTTTCTAATTATATCTGTATTGTTTACTTCTGTGTAATAAATTGTTGCAACAGCAGCCAGAGAATCAGCCACTGTTTTAAATCCTGGTAAAATTGGAAGAAAATTATCAGCATGTGTTGAAGTCAAATTCGTTGCCTAAAAAATAAAAAGACTTCTATCAAAACAATTTTAATTATAATTTCAAATAGTGTGGCTTGAAACAAATTGTCAATTTAATTTAAAAATGATAACATTTCTTTGGTATAGAATACTGAGTAGTGTAGTCTGATAATCGTACAACTCAAATTCAAATTTTGTAATGTGTTTTTTCAACATGCTACGATCGTTATTGTTGCCATTTATTATTATCATTTTTTCGATAAAATGAGAGTAATAATTTAAATGAAACAATACAATGACACATACATTACTTTGACTAAATCTCTGGAAAGCGGAATGTGGAAGAAAATTGATCAAATATCCTGCACGAGAAGCATCAGATGGGGTAATTCCATCTGCATATTTTTCTTGCAATATTCTTCTTAGTTTCATCAATGATTTTGAATTTTTCGAGAAGCGACCTAATGATGACGATATGCATTCTGAACTGAATTAAAAAATAAATTGAAAAAAATTAGTTACATCAATTACAGAAGTAAAACAATTTAATGTCTACCTAGATTATAACGAATAATATGAAAATGCCAAACTAGGGAGCATGGTTTCAGTTTCTGGTAATTGTTAGCTGAGTGTGAAATGAACATCACTGCTGAAATGTTCAGGTCTTTCAAATAACATAAGCAAGTACTGTTATTGTCTTGAAGTTGAAGATATCAAATATATACTCACATCTCAGCAGCAGCATCAAGAATTGAATCTTTGAATTCATCCAGCACATAGTCAAATATTCCTGCAGGACACATCCACTCAACTAATGCACCAGGTGTGTTTAGGTTTGAGATAAGGCTTTGAAAATCACTGTTGTATGTACGACGAGATATATCCTTGTTTATTATTTCTGCCATCCAAGGATTCATTGTGAATGTGCCAGCCGACTTGAAAAATGAAATTCAACTTGATTAAAACTTTTTGGAATGCAAGCTTGAACTGAGACTTGATATTTATAGAGAAGAAAAACTTTTCGTAAAAATATGGCAAATTAATTGTGAATATTGAATAATAATTTCGTACTTTCTATCAGAGCTGAAATCACTGTGCACCAAAAAATGCGCAGAATCACATTTTCCAACAGAATTATGATATGTGTCAGATTTTGCTTGAACAAGATGTCAATGAAAATTGAATAATTTATTAAGAAATAGTAAATTTTAAAGGAAATACTGAATCTGACTCAAGCTATGAACAAACCAAATTTTGATAATGAAGGACATAATCCAGAAAGCTCTGTATCCACATAACACGGAATAAGAATACCACTTGGAATAAGTTTATATTTCCTAATTTCATTTGCCTATAGCTTTGTCTATTTTAATAACACATTTGAAGTGTTGAAATGGGTATTTTCTCTATCATCACAATCATCTCTCTCAATCTTCCTATCAACTCTACTATCAGTGACATTTTATATCAATTTTTTTTAATTTTTTAGTATTTTATTTGGTGGAAAAACTGGTATGTATCGTGTGTAGGAAAGAAATTTTCAAAAAACGCTCACATATCTTTCTTTAGCTTTAGTTATCAATGGTTGTATATATTGATTTGATAAACCTTCAATGAAAGCAGCAAACTTTGTATAATCAGATTTTGGCCTTCCATTCTCTAATACATCTAACATATTGTCATCTGTGAATCCATCTTTGTTCTAAAAATTAGTTTTTTAGAAATTAGTCTTAGTTTAATTATTAGGTTACATTATTGAATGCAAAAAATAGTACAGTTATAAAGCAATGCATTACATCTTGGTCATAGACAATAATAGGATTCCAAGCTGGAAAATATTATAGACGGTTATTAAAAATTTAACATTCGAACACTTTTCTTATATAGAAAGTTTATGGTTTATTTGGGATGAGAATGTAAACCTTAATACGGGTGTCATCCAGCTACAAATTGACATTTATGAGTGAAACCTAGCTATACTATGCTCCGCCAATCAGTGCCAAAAACGTTTTAATAATTTTAAAACACTAAAAGTTCAAAATGAGTGTATTTTTAAAAGTTACATAACCAATGTTTGTCCTAATATTCATGATCATTGCAGCATCATATTTTATCAATAACATTGTTAACATTTTCCTGCTTACAAAAGCATAAAAACGAATTCATCTAGTTTAAAAGTAAACGAAGTGCTGTCAACAATACCTGCAAATTTTCAAGTACTTGCATAGGTAGTGCTCGTAACGTTCCAACAGCCAAGTCAACATTGTTAGCGGATCCTTTCAGATAGTCGATCACCTTTGTGTTTCCTGTTCTACTGGCATAGCTAATGCTAAAAATGTGAAAATACAATGTTTACTGTCCATCTTTTTCTCTAGTTTCTTTTTCTCTAACATTACATTGCTTAAAAATTCCAATAACATGAATGTTACATAATCCTTTTTTGTTGGTATTCTACTGAAACTGACTAAAATACAGACAACAGATTCATACCTTCATTTAAAAAAACTGATGAATACTAATGTGAAAAACTTACAAATCGACCATAACAGGATCCTCCAGAAGATTGGGAACTAAAATAAAAAATTTGATACCATAATCATTCAACAGAAAACATTAGTTTACAAAGTTTAGAAAATAATAAGATAAGCATTGTTTTCTCTGAAGTAGGAGAATTCTAAATATTCAATCAAATGATGCATGATGTTTTGTCGTGACAAATTTATTCAAACTGGTACAAGACTGTCTCATGATCTGAATCCAAAAAAATTACTTTTAGGGCAATCATTCACTTTGTATTAATAATAAAAAATATATTTATTCAATTACTGATGAGTTAAATTTTACTAAAATAAACTTCTGAAAGTATCAATGTTTCCATTGAAGTAGAAGAATTCTGAATATTCAATCTTAGGATGCATGATGTTTTGTCATAGCAAATTTATTCAAACTGGTACAAGACTGTCTTGTGATCTGAATCCTAAAAATTTACTCTTAGAACAATCATTCACTTTGTATTGGAAATACAAAAATATATTCCTTTGGTTACTGATAAGTTAAATATTACTAAAATAAACTTTCGAAAAAAGTTTCGTTTAATGGAAGGACTCAATGACTTTCATCCTTGTTAGTTAGTTCACTTACCAAAGCTAGTTGAAAAGTCGGATGCGGATAAGCCATTCGGAAGATCAAATTTAATTCCTTCTCCCTCGAAATCCCATTTTTCATTGAAGGCATTTCCAGCTACAAACTTCGGTAATCCAATTTTAGACCAAGATTCATTTACTGAAAAGAAAATTTTCATTCACCACTTTCAATAAAGTATAAAACCTTAACATTTGAATTATGGTACGTATAAAACTCCAATTTCCCAATGATAAATCTGAAAATAAATATTAGGAAAGTGTTCACAAGCATGTATGAATTATGAATGAAACAAAGACAAGAGTTAGGTATATTACGATATTATGCTATTGATGCAAGATACAATTTTGAAGCAGGATTGTCTATTGTTAATCAGGAACAATTTAAATTGTGATCAAATTCAAATGAAATGTGTTATCGTTTTAATGCATAGCACTCTTTTTCAGAGTATTCATTATAATACTAAAAATATATTATGTATATTTAAAACTATGAATTGTATAAAATATGGTACCCTTAGTATGGAAAGGTGGGTCCCAATCGAGTATTTTCATCTGAGGCATCATCATCTTGCTCAACCGTTTAATTTCAGAAATTACTGTGAATCGAAAAATATACTAGTCAGATCATTTCAAGGCTCATTGCCTAATTCTAGAAGGTAATTCGGGTGTTCAAGTTGAAATAGCTTCTGGTATAGTGGCTCGACAATTATTTCGGATATGTATTTTAGTTATTATTTTTAGTATGACACAAATAAAAAAAATGTCAGACTACCACTAACTTGGCATAACTCCTCCCATGCAATTTTCCATCTGACTTTGTACTTTTCTTGACTTCATCATTCTTTTATAACTCATTCTCCCTATACAAGTTGACAAAACAGTTGTGTAAATATTATATTATTACAAACGAAAGCTTAAATGCTTTATATATCTTTAATTGATAAACTTGCAAAATATTTGCTCATTTACAACTCTGTAAACAATGATTGTAAAACACCTACTGGATGAACCTGCTTTCCACAGAATCTCAAATAAGATATAAACACAATTTTATTGAACGTTTGAAATTATTTTTTACTTGAAAACAAGTCAATATCAATCGTGTGAATGAGAATTATTAAAGAGAAGAATCGGTAAAATATATTATTATAGTTGGCCAACAGCGGCGTTACATATAAAAATAGATACCAATATTAATAACGATATTTATAATACTGGCGGTAAGTAATATTTAAACCTGTTACAAAAGTGGAAATTTATTATCTTAAAGCAGAGATTAAAGCTTATCTTAAACAGGATGACCCCAAAGACAACTTTCAAGTGTCCAGTGCGACCCCAGATCAATATATATATATATATTTTTTTTCATGAAACTTTAGTAGAGCTTTTTTCACTGGACTTTTGAGTTTGGTCATGTGGGGGTATTAAGTAAAAAAAGCTAAAATCAAACAGTGATGTCACAATGAACACCTACATTTTCTATAGCTTAAGCATAGAGCGATGCCTATGGGCCTGTTTTACAGTAAGCCATAGTACAAACTGCTAAATTCAACATGGTTTTTCAAATCTTAGATGTTTTGTACATCCACCCTCTACCATACCTCAGCGACCCCATGTGTCCCTACTTATTTATCATCCCGACCCAATTTGGGGTCTCGACCCCTGGTTTGGGAACCCATGTCTTAAAGTGATGTTGAACAGCATAACATGCAGCAAACAACTACCGTATGCTGTGCAGATTTTTCAGGCTTTTAATCGCCATGCAGCTAATTATTTTCACCTTTTCTTCCAGTTGTCATTGAGCTAGACTTTTTCTTGATAGTCACTGGACTAACATCGAATGTTTTTCCTTTTACATTCGGTGCGAAAACACCCCTTGTCATAGCTGGAAAAAGTCATAAAGTGAATTATAAAATTATTACCGTACATATCGTTCATTCAAACATCAAAGTGTGCGAACTGCAACAGCCTATAAGTATTTTGAATATGAATATCCTGGATACATGGATGTTTAAATAAACTTTTCATAATAAATTTGCTTCAAATTTATTTTTAAATTTATAGAATGAGTATGACACTTTTTAAATAGAGAATATAATATGCAGAATAGTAGAACTATGACGTTTCCAATGGATATTCACACTTGTCTTTGAAAATGTACTTAATAAAGGTAATATTGGTAATAACTTAATAAAGGTAATAAAAAACAGTCATTTCACTTGAATATTTTTGTACATTGAAACTTTTAGTGTTAACATGTTTAAAACTGAAAAAATAATTATTACTCGAAGTAATGACTTTAAAATCGTAAATACTCTTGATATGTCCTCCAAAATGTCCAACGGATAAAGCCAAGTCTAAAGCCAATTTCTGCAACCTTCCTCGGGAGTATAATGACAATGACGGTCCTCCATCTGGAATCATAGAATAAAAAAACAATTTTCGATTCAATATTGATATTGATGAAAAACTTATAAAAATGATATCATATAGCTAGAAAAGTACACACTATTTTTTCTTGTATGCCAAATCTTAATTGATTTACCTCCTCCTCTTTCAGTTTGTCCCATTTTCTTCCATTTTGTAAGAATTGGAGCCAATTTTTTTAAAACAAATTCAATCTTCGGTTTTTGATCTATCAAAAATGTGATATAATAATTGATAATTTAAATATCAATTTTATTTTGGATGGAAATAACTTGTATAATAATTACTTGATACATTCTCAAAGTGAACTTTAATTCATCTTTCTCAATCAAGATTTCCTATTTGCCTAGTTCAACAATTTTAGATATCCTGCATTATTAGTTATCACATATGAGTTATCACATATGAATATAGAAAATCCTAACGAGTTGACAAAGGCAATTAAACATTATCAGTAGCTATGTAAATAAACAATATTGCCATGTTTGAACGTCAAAATGAATTTATTCTGTTACGGTTACAAAAATAATTCACAAATATTCTGTTCAACGTATGCGCTTTACTCAAAAGTAAACTGTGCAGAACAAGAAATGATTCAAAATAATCTCATCAAATTTTCTGACATCATAAGTTAGTGTTATTCATAAATACATAAAATTAGTATTATAATCATCTATGTGGTGTTTTTTAATTGGGCAGAAAGAAGTGTTTTTAATATTTCAGTTCTTTCGCTTCGATCATTGCAATTTGAAATTTTATTAAAAAATGAAGTTCAGCATTGAATTGACTACCTACCGGTTATTTATTTGCAACTTGCAATTATGCAATAAATCATATCTGTATATAAATTTAAATAAAAAGATAGTCTATTATCAAACACAGACATCATTGAAGGAGTCTTTATAAAGGAGACTTGGAGATGTTACAGTAATTCATTAGTGTTAGTGTGGAGCAAGGCTTTTGAAGCACTTAGAAAAGCACTATTTATTTTACAGCATCCTTTTCTAATAATACAGGGTTTCCCAAACTGGGGTTCGTGACGACTACACAAGGGGTCCGCAGCAATATTAAGAGTCTGAAATATATACATTTTACGTATATCCATTGTTACTTGGACATTCATAAACAAGATAAAGTCGTAAGTTGACGCAATCGCAAATTGTAATTGTTAAGAGTCCTTAACAATGGCAGTGAAAAAGTTGTTGTAAATGCAGATCGTTGCTTTCAGCGTCTGTGAGGTAGACAAACGTCACAGAGCTAAATCGTCGGTAATAATTGATTGTATGCGTTATTAAGTTATCAACAGTAGAGAACTTGTGCGACTTTGTCAAGAAAAATTTGAGGCCCGTTGCAGCAAGGAAGAGGCTTGAATTGAAACCCAGTTAAGGTAATTGTGAGAGACTATCCAAGTATACACACTTAAATTAGTTCCACATGTTACTACCGATAGTCCGGATATTGGGATGCAAATAGATCATAATTTTATAGAATTGCCGTTAGCCTACCAATATTTAACATTAGTATGTATTTTGATTTTCTTGAGTCACAAATTTATCCTTCATTTAAAGACATTTGTGTTCTAAATCCAAATGAAACATTATCCTTCCTCGTTGTTTAGGCACATAATTTGGTATAGGATGGGGACTCTAACTAATAGCAAAATTATTTCAATATTAGTAAAATCTCCAAGAAATAGTTTTCAGTAGATTAAGTTTTTATATAGAACACATATATCTTTCAAAAATCACCTCTCTTTCTAACCCACCTTTTTTACTTAAAAAGGTAACTTTTCTTCCTTGTGAACGTCTCACAGAATCTCCAATAGCTCCAGCAATAATAGCTGATGAAGTTATCATACCAGTAGCTTTTCTCTGAATTCTGTTATTCACACCAGGAATATGGTCAATTCCATTCCCTAAAAAGAATTCCACCAAGAAAATTTGATATCCAAATTACCATTGCATTATGCCAAATTTTGGCTGGAAGAATCAGATCAATGCAATTTGTAATTTATATCCATCCATGAATCACAAAACATTTTTGCTTTGATTAACCTTTCAACTCACAACTCACCTGCTAGTCGGCCTTTTTTACTAGAATCTTTTGCGATTTCTTTATTCATTGATGAAGCAATTCTTCCAAAATCTTTAACTAAATTATTCAAACTACCAGAAGATTCTAAAAACACGAAACCAAAATTGAAGGCACCTTTGTGTATTTCAGGTAGATGATTTTCTAGATATGCTATATGTAAATTCTGTGGAAGTGCATTTAATACCCAAACACTAATCATGTAGTGTTATCATTTATCCCACAGAAATAAAAACGAATGATTTCAACTAGAAGCATACATTGGCTTCTTCATGTTATAAAAGGTAACAGAGGTGCTTGTGACCAACATAGAAACCTAAGGCTAAGCATCTGATAATTGATGAAGTGGTTATGCTTTGTCTTGAAACAATATTATATTCAATAAGGAATTGTGAATCCCATATTTAGAGATTCCATTCAACAATCTCTCAGACCATAATTACAAATAGAATTGAATAATCAATCACCTTGCATTAAGTTTTCCAACTTATCCATCGAAAAATCTTCAGGTAACTGGTTCAGGAGTTGAGCTGAAATATGATTGAATCAAATGCATATTCTTGGAAATTGCTATAATAAATTACATAGTGATATGAAATATGATGAAATACTGACTACAGGAAATATAAAATTCTCGATAGTTGATAAGCAGCCAACAGAATGTTTCCCGGGTGAGGCGGTATTATGGGATCTGAACCAAAATGCGTAACACAAGATGCCAATGCAATATAGTTAAGTCCAATGGTTTAACTATGAAGCCATCGAGCCTGTTTTCATATCCAATAAATATGAAAAATCAACTGCATTCCTGAATGTCTTCATAATTTTAGGAATATTGATTGAAATTGTCTTTTAATATGGCAATGTTTGTTGACTGTCAATTTAAAATGGTAAGATAATATAACTGGCAAGTGGCAATTTTACTATAAATTATTATTGTTACAGTATTATAAACTTTAGAATTCAAAAATTGGATGTATCAAATAATTATATTTCAGATATCAGATTTGTTTTGAACATTTCCAGATTAGAAATGAATAAACTATTTCTTTATTTTATTAGGTCTATTTTTATTTTATTTTTTTAAGAAAAATGGTAAAATTTGTCTTACATCCTTGATTTTGGGCATCCTTCCATATGTCTTCCATCATCCCTGGATCTGGCATCATCTCTTTAAACTTTCCTGGGTCAAAGTCAGCTCCATCTAAACGAAATTTTAGAAGTTAATTTGGACAATATAATACAACATAATTTTGCAAAACATCGAGCATTATACAACTACAATAGTAACTCTACTTACAAAATTAATTCGTTCCGGAAACAGTTTCGTAAACAGAAAATTTCGTAACTAGGAACGCATTTTACTCTATAAATGCCTAATCCGTTCTGAGCCCTCACAAAACTCGGACATACTATTTGTACAAATAAACGTTAGAATTAGATTACTGCATAATAAATAGAAAAGAAGAAATAACAGAGAAGTAATGCATGAAAACTACGACTGGTATGTTTGTTTACCTTGGCGTTGGTCGACTAGGCTAGGCTAAGTGAAGACCAAGGTAAGTGGGAGGCGAGAGAACGCAATGTACGAAAATAATCACACACGCTGAATTCAAAACTGATGATTTTTCAAATTTTCGGTTTTTGATCTTTCGTATTTAAAAGCATCTTTTTTTATTGGGAGCAATATTTTTACGAGAAGAAGTTTCATAACTTGGAAATCCGGGGTCTTTTATTAGTGGATACTATTCCAAATGCCAACAACATACAGGAAAACCAAGACTCTCCAGTAGGGAATATCTGCAACCTCGCAGCAAGTCAATATATACTTAGCATAAGTTATTGAAAATTTGCATGACCTAAAGCAACACAACCATCGGATAATTCAATCAAATACATACATATTCGGATTGATTCGAAGATATTTTATGATTTATTAGAAATATACTTATTATTATTATTTTGTATCAAGACATAATGTGCAATTGATATTTCGGCCGATCTATATTCCTAAATACCTGGCATAAAACCTCCAGCAGCTGCTCCCATGACTCCAGCCAGTGCCCCCATCTCAGCGAACGGATCTTTCATGTCGTAACCTTGACAATAGCATGATAAATGATGAGGAGTGGTGAAAGAAGTCACACCAATGGAGAATATTCTTGGTTCCATTGTATAACCAAGGAAAAAAAAAACTCAAAATTTCTATATAACCCTTGGGTCATTCATCATAATGTTATAATGGACATATATGACCTTTTGCATTTCTATACCACTAATCTGAACTCAAAATGCAAAGATTGATTACATGATATATATTGAAGAATAATATGAACGTGAAGTGAAATCAAATGGGATCACTGAAAGAATGAAAAATAGTTACTTGAACTTGAAGCATCTTCACCCATGGCTTCCCCAAACATTGCTCCAGTCAATCCTCCCATCAATAGCCCCATTATTTCTAAAAAGAACATGAAACTTTCACACTAATAACACTCGAATTGAGCCTGAAACCACAATTTATTATCAAAGTTGAGTCGAAAATGACAAATCTTAATTTACATTTATATTATTAAACAATTAAATAACATTTTAATATGCAATTGGAACAAAATACGATAGATTAAAAAAACTTCCTTCCAATGTTACTAAAGTGAATTTAACAGTATTTATTTCAGAAACAGATTACCTGGATCTGAGTCGAAATTGCCCACTAGACAAGACATTGGGCCCAAGGCGGACACTGCTCCCTGCATATGTTGTTCAATGTCCATGGGAATTTGTCCTGCAAATTCTGAAACATCAATTCAATAATGATATATGATACTTCACAACATTTTTATTTATTGAAAGGTCTGCAATGACTAGCAAGGTTGGTAACTCTCTATACATATTCTTGTACAGAATCTTGTTGGAAGATGGTATAAAACCACCTATAAAACCCACCCTACATACCTATATATATATAGACAGACTCAATTCCAATATTCTTCCATGAAAACAAGCATTCACTTACTGATGTGACTATTTTCAGATTCAGATTCAATTTGTTTGTTTTACATTTTACAGCCTGTTGTGGACTTTCAGTATGAGGGGACAGCAAATGTTTTCGAGTGATTCAAATACTAGTGTAATAGTAAATATGCAAAGTGTTACCTTGCAACTTATCAAACTGCATATTGGAAGCTGCAGAGCTATCAATCATGGACATCACATCTTTCATTCCCTCATCAAAACCTGTGTACAATGTACAAATGTTGATCAATTGATTATATACTTGAATATAAAGCAAATATACTCTCTACTTGTTGTGTTACCTGGCATGTCCGGATTTTGCAAAAGTCCTCCAACAGAATCCATGGCAGATTCCATACTTTGGGAGAGAGAAGTCAGATCTTCTTTATCTGGATATTCATAATAGAAAACTGTTTTTCAACGCCATAAACAGCAGACCTAATAATCGCTACCATTCAGTAGAAAGTCGCACTTAATTAAGATTTTTTAATACAAGATAGGATTTCCTTATATTCAAGTATAATCGCATTCTAATATTGGGTTTAGGTACACCTGTATATTACGATAATTACAACCATATACAAAAAAAAGCTTATATAATCTCACCAACAAGAGCATTGAGAGAACCCATAAAATCCTGCCCCGCTGCATCGGAAAACACACCTGAATATAAACCGCAAATTCAGTAGTTAGCAAACAACCATGCTCAGGCGATTTATTGCTGCTGATTGGATATTACGAATGAGCGATATATATAAATGATCATATATACAACTGTAAGTGAGTAAAAGATCAGGGAAAGTGCCGAACGTTTTGATGTGAACCAGTGAATTTGATAAAATATCGGTGTATTAAGGTGTATTAATCGTGCTTGCTAACGCCATAGTGTAATTCGACTTAATAAACAAACGTTTCTCCTTATTTTACTTCTGAGATATCGAGTATATATTGCGTTGCCTGCTTTTGTAAAATACAAGTTGTGATCCGTGGAAATGATCGAAGTGTAACATGATGATAGGTGGATACTAAGTAGGCCTATTATACCACCTTTTAATCATATGTAGTATGCATTAATTTCTACGCATAAACCAAGATTATGTTTCATGTTCACAACAGCGCGCTATCAATGAACGAATGGTTTTCATCCTGGTTTAGACTAAGTTGTTTCAGGGATTCGGCCATTGAAATATATATATATTGTGTAGCAAATGTGGAATGTAACTATGAATTTAAATGAATTTATCGTAGCAAGACCTTATTCTGTATGCAGTGCTTTTCTCTACCGAGCGATCAATGACGTATCAGTTTGGCTTACTCCACTAAAGAAGACGCAGATTGGGCCCATCTTCTCCCTACAACTGTAATCTAAGTACATTACGATACAGTAAATTCACAAAAAACAAATTTTGCAATAGGAATTGAATTATACGGGCATTTTTATTACGTTTGACGATTTCACACTTTATTGCACTTCTGGTCCAGTTATTATTACGACTGAAGCAGAACTCGGCGATTGCTGCGTTAATTACTTCACGTTGAGTCAAATTTCGTGTAAAATGACTTTGCGAGAGGATATTGCTAAACCTTTTTGCCATCGCAGGGTTATTCACGATACCGCAGTCCGTTTACAGCCTATCAATCGAGAGAGTGATTTTCTGATATGTGTAGGGTAAATTCAGACAGTCCAGGAGAAACAGTATTTCAGGAAAGCCAAAAAGTGATTTGAAATTAACGAAATTGAGCTGTCCAACATCATATCGTTTGCAATTGATAGCGCCCTTCCCATGATTGTCCGTTACCGTGTCTTCATTACAATCCTTTAAGAAGAAAATTCAAATATGCAAATGATGCGCTGTACAATTCGTCGGAAACTTTTATTGGCCAAAAATATTCGCGGTCATCTATTATTTCATGACGATATTCATGGAGATAAAACTCCCTGCGCTAAACATTTGCTTATTTAAACAATTATGGAATGAGAATGATGAAGCATTTGAGTACTTACTGCTTCACACCGAAATAAGATAGCTTTCTAATGGGATCCGCTTTACATAATTTTACTCACTTTTTGATACTGTTGTTGAACCCTTTCGGACTAGCGATCCGATTCTCGCGAAAAATGTTATAGTAGTAAAAAGTGATATCGCTTACTTGGCAGACATATTCTCTATATTTAACAAACTGACCTCTCTACTGAGACAAAATCAATCTGATAAAACTTTATCGACACTGCCTGGGTTCAATATTAAGCTCGTGGCCTATCAGCGAAATTTTACTATACGAAATTTTCCAATGCTCAAAATGATAACAGTGGCAAGAATTACACAATGACATGGGAGTTTGTTTCAAGAATGTACTTTAATTTTAGATTTTGAAAACGATAATTGACCCATTCAGTAATATTTACGCACATGGAATTTTTAGGAGGAACGTATCACATTGCAAAGCAATTTTGAACCCAAACCAAAGTTTATGGTTTTATATTAATCGTTCGAAATCAAATGAAATTGAAACATCCTCACGTGTGAGATCGAGCCAAAATTTTTTTTACTTTTCACAGCTCATACTTGAGTACCATGACCGCGTTTCTAGATAGAAAGAGAACCCAAATCTGACATAGTCAACGAAACATAAAACTGTTTCTGACTAAAATGAAGCCAGTAAGCGGGTGGCGTTTCACCAGGCTCGCCGCATATCTCATTGGATTGAACTAAATTGAGAATAACTTGAGGTCGTCCAAGGTGACGGCCCAAGTCTACGTGGTGACTGGTGAGTACACGCTGCCAACTAGACCAATATGCAAATTAGTCACAAATATGTGAATCAATTAGAGCTGGCTATTTACACGTATTCTGAAACAAGAAATAATAATGAAAAGAGAAAATAGAGACCGGGAAACTCAGGAAATTGGATTTAGGTAGAGTTTACGACACTTGTTTTTATTTTGTAGTACTGCGTTGCGATATTTTAGTCGAGTGTGTTTGAGGTCTTGCTTGCTTGAAGTTGACTACTGGAAACTAATCGCGTGCAACTTTGCAATGAGTTCGTATTCATCCGTAAATATAACATGAGGAATTGAGGAATCTGAGCTGAACCATAATTAAAATAAAGAAATGAAATCAGGCTTGAACCACAAACATTTGAGGGTGGAAATGCCCATGGCTATGACTCTATATGGGTGCAAATGTCCGCGAGTGCAAATGTACGTAGGTGGAAATATCCGTGGTGCAAATGTTCGCGGCTGCAAATGTACTGGGTTCAAATGTCAATGGATGTAATTCGTATGTGAGTGCTAAAATCTGAGAGTTCGACTTCTCCATAGGTGAAAAAGTATACCGGTGCGAAAGTCCTGGTTGCAGTTTACGAGTACAAACATAAGAAAAACCGGGGCCAACATTGTCATGTATAATCTCATGATATTAAACGGAGATCCAGTGACTGACTAAAATGAAATGTAGTCCTAGTGAAATAGAGTCCCTCAGCGAAGTAGAAGCGTCTGTGATAATATTTAACGCCATTACATTATTACAACACATTATGTGGGTGTTTAAACTGGTATTTTTTTTTAATGATTTTGATATTACCATATATTGGGTCTGATACCTTTTTTAGTTTACTAAGTCTTATCTCTTTACGTCTGTCATCTGGTTCTTGTGCGCTGATCAGTTTTATAATTTGTGTTTAGTTGAAAATTAGTCGATTAAAGACTAGTTTTAAAATAAGAGTGGCCTGCTGATCTATGAGGCTACCACAATTTGATCGACTCATGATAATGGACAGACTCTTTAGGCCGGAGAGGCTCTTGGTAAATTCAAAGGAATCAGAAGAAGCAAGAATTAGGCATTGTTTCAATACTGTTGCATAAAGAATAAAAACATCTTACAAATTAAAAGCAGGGCAGGGAATCCACTTATTAGATGCATTGTAGCTCTAGCTTTTTCTCTGTGGTGCTATCCTGTAAATGAAAATAACACAATTCAATTTATAATACGTTCACGAAGCTATATATAATAAAGGTGTTCAAATAGTACAACAAGCTTTGGTTGGCCATAACTTGAATACAAGAATGGGGATCATGCGACGAAATGTCAAGAGATACACAGCGTTGAATAGTTGATTGGAATCTCATGGTGCGCACTAGGGCATGACAGTTTTATACTTTGTTCTCGTTGCAAAAAAATCAGAAGCATTTATCTTTAGATTTCGAGTTTCACGAGTATTTGTAATAGTTTGGTCGGTAGTACCAAACTAAATATTAGCATATTGCACATCCACATGATTCGAAAATGTTGTCGACGTATTACAAATTTTGGCAGAAAAGACAGATTTGATTTTGCGAGTCCAAGAGGCGTATTCACAATCTCGACAGGAAGTTGACCATTCATCAATATCTCGAAAAAAATAAGACATAACATACAGACTGCGGGATCGCTCCCCGTTTCTCTAGCTGCAAGCGTCATACCACACGTATGGAGTGCTAATATCCACAGCGACATTTTTATACCACGTTTTTTGATACGCCCGTCACTTCAACTGTTGACACGCTCTGTTGAAAACCCGCAAATGGTCAGAATAGGAGATTAACGCCTCAAAAATAATTTTGCAAAAAAAAGAAGAGAATAGACCAGAAAAACAAATTTATACGAGCTAGGTATGAACAGGCTGGGCAGCTAAGGTTAGTTTAAAATTACAAGGGCTCAAGCGCCATAGCGATTAAGGTTTGTTACGTGGCCACTACCATAAAACACCAGCCCAAAACAGTTTCACGGAAGCGGGACTCAAAACTATTATAGTCTATAAATGTTTGAAACATTTTAATTAATTTGAAACTTTTAAACCAACCTTAGCTCAATATTGAAAATTACTTCAAGAAAAAAAAAATTATAAGCTGAAAAGGGTATAACAGTTATTTTATTATCTAACTTATGTAGAATGTTAGAAAATTACAAATATGAAAAATAATTGACGTAGATAGTTAGGATCCGAAGCCACTAAAGTTTCTGGTTGCTTAAGGTAAGATTCAATAGTTTCACAACCAACTCTAAAAAAGTTTACGACTCCAAACATGAATCCGACTCCCCAGCCCTGGTTGTGAAACTGTTGAATCTTAAAGCGCAATCGTTACTTATTACGGCATATATATACACTGTATAAACTTGATAAGCAAATAGAAATATTTAAGGGCATGTTTTGAAGTAGCGTGATTTGATTCAATTTCATGATTCTCAAAGTTAACATCAGACCTGGGTCGATAACGTTCACCCAACCAAGAAGCTCGGTTTAATTTGCGAACGAAGCAATGAAAGATATTAGTCAACAACGATGAGCATAGCAACGATAAGACTATACATGCCTGGAAAAACTGGAAGACACCTCTTTCCTTCCTGTGTCGCAGACTCGCAGTCGGTATCACAGTTGAGATGAAGAAAATTTAAACTCGTCGGGTCTGGTGTGGCGGTAGGGTGTCGGTACCGAGATGTTCTCGTTCAAACGCAATATAACTGTGATGTCATAATTTCTATATTATTTAGACCTTTGTTTAAAACGCTTTCAATGACATAATAGAGGATCAAAGTTGCCAGAAGCGATGCAACCATTGAGATGTATCTCAATGGATGCAACCGTATGGATGCAACGCCCAGATAATGGACGCCGTCTTGTGCCTATTGATCTCGACCATCTAACAAGGTGCCTTATGAAAGGTTCGCACACAATTGTTGAAACATACCTATTATTTTCACTAATATTTTAGGTAGAAAAATTTTGAAGGTCGCGTTTTGAAGTAGAATCTTAGCCGAACATGATGATATTCTTTCATGTTCGCCAAATTACATTTATAGTACATTAAATTGTCTTTGAAGACAAGTATACCGGTTCCTTGTTGCTTCCGAAGTAAGTTGGCCATTCTCTTCGGCATAATTGACCATTTGCCAATGGCGTTACTTATATTCTCACAAATGGAAAGTTGTATATATATAGGCTTACCATACGTCCCGGTTTAGCCGGGACAGTCCCGGATTTGACTATGACAAGCTGTCCCGGCGTCCCGGCCGGTTGACTCAAATGTCCCGGCTTGTCAGCACGGTTTTCATGGGTAAAAAATTCAAGTTCCTTAATATTACAAATTTTTTTTAACGGTGACAGCCCATTTACCACTGTTTTGCGACACACTTTGCTATTCCAGAGAGAGAAATCGCTCTATTGTTATGTCACAATTGGTATATGTTTTAATGCGTTTTCTGGCGTTAACTGCAATGACGTTAAGGTGTCGAAATGCCAAAAAGAAAGTACAAGTTTTCTGATGAGTTGAAGAAAGATTTACCTTAATTGAAGCAAACTGAAGGATTAAAGGTACACTGTACGCATTGCAGATCTGTTTTTCTATTAGTCATGGCGGACGTTCAGATGTCAACGATCATATCCAAAGCAGGAAGCACAAAACAATAACATTGAAGCATTGACTGTGAAGCACCCGGTTTTTTGTTTTTTGTTATCCAAAGCAGGAAGCACAAAACAATAACATTGAAGCATCGACTCGACTGACCAATTTTGCGATAACAAATTCGGATGATTCTGTGTCCTTGGCAGCCGACATTTACCTACCACACTGCTATTCATGACCAAAGTTTTGACTGCACCTCTAAATTAATTTCAAATTTTTTTGAGGCTAAATTTGCATTAACTTGTAAATATACACAGTTAGAATTTCTTATGTCCGCTGTTTGATAAGCGGATTCGCTGATTTTGCACGTTTAGCCAGAAATAAATGAGAGTTGGTGCATTGCTCCGTTGTTCTCCTCTGAATTTAATGATGATTTACTTCAAGCTCGAATGGCAACAAAACGCAGAAAAGTTGATGCTAAGTGCAAAGGGTTCAATGGCGCTGAAAATATTCAAACGGAATTTTTTGAGATGCAATGAGGAAATAAATCTATATTCTATTCGAGAGATGTATCACTGCTTGATTTTTAATATAAAAACTATCATCCGTTCAGTTTCAACTTTCTAAAAATATCTGCGGTCCGCCAATGACTCGCAACCCTTAATTTTGGCCCGCGGGCGACAAAAGGTTGCCGACCCCTGCCGTAGATGTTGCAAATATTCTGTCAGAGGTGAAGCTAAATTTGCAGGGAAAAAATTTGTATTTAAAAAGAATGTTTGCGATTTTTACGAGAAATGTCTATCGTATATAGAGCTGCACGATGAAGCCTACAATGCTGCCAGGCCACACATATGGACAAATTTGAAGAGTGAAATAAACTGGACTGAAGTGTTTGGTCTGCAAAATTGATAAATGATATATTTGGTTAGCTGATCAGATTTTGAATAGCGATGCACTTTTACGAATACTGATAAAGAGATATTTATCTGAGCATGGTTCAAATGCAATTTGACTTACTTTGCCGGTTGAAATATTTATCTGAGCATGGTTCAAATGCAATTTGACTTACTTTGCCGGTTGAAATTAAGTGGACAAAGATGTTTTTTCTAACAGAAATATTAGCATTTCAAATTTGCAGCAAATTGGTTGATTTTGTTTTTCGGAACATCGGCATCTGTTAAAAGGATTTTTTCCATTGTTAAAAAATTTTGGTCCGAAAGCAGGTGCAGAATGCCAGAAGAAAATATAAAACCACTCCGTAACCTGCAAATTTAATGGTGATGTCTCTTGTTATCAGTTTTATGACAAAATCAAAACAAGAATTTTTGAGAAAGGTTCCATCTGCGGACAAATACTTTTGGTCTAAATGAATAATACAAACTAATTTTTTGTGTTTTTTCTAATTCAATGATCAGTAGAGATTTAAAGCCGTATATACCCGCAATGGCATGGTAGACGTTCCAATATTATCAAGACTGGCAATCGACCGAATGTTTGCCAAATCGCACCGTCCCGGTTTTTTGTTTCAGATTTATGGTAAGCCTATATATATATATTCGTCGAAATTACAGACCGACTTAACTTCGCTTCAATGGCCGTTTCTATTTTCGGGTTAACACTTTTCGTCTGACAAGCTTTTTAATGCCCGGCTGCTCAGAAATGGTTCTACGTTGTGCTTGTGGCAAATTTAACGCATTTAGATAGTCGGTAAAAATAAATATTCCTGTGAAGTGTAAAGCTTCTGTAGCTATGTCTGGAGTCTGGGTATGCGTTTGGGAGTTTTTATCATACGACCGCAAGGTATATATCACAAAGACGTTTTTCAACTAATGATCATTTGAAGTTTTAACCAACTGCCTTGTATAAGATGACCTCATCGTTGATCCGTTGGGTTCATTTACGAAGGGATTCCGTAATCATTCCTTCACAATTCTTGCGTCGTTTGCGCTAGGAAAGTAGCGTTCAAACGCCTTTATAATAAAAGCCAAGTTAGCTGCGAGCCAGCAGACACGTTGTTAGCGAGAATCATTTTGTCTGGAAGATCTTGTTCGAATTGACGCAGCATTATTGCGACATACTGACATGGCAATTGTTTGGGAAGTCAATCATGTTGCGTTTGTCTGGTTTGCTGTTCTTAATCGTAGAGTTTGTGGTTGTTATATTGTAAAGGTATTATTGAGACGTTGTCCGTTTTTAGGTTTCCTGTGGTTCCTGTGGCCCAGTGGTAGCCGACCACTGATTTGGAAGATCTCCGCATGTGACGTAAGCTCAAGAAAAAAAGGATTCCGCAAGGGAGCCATATTCTCCCGACATGGTTCATTTTTCGCTCGCAAAGCCTTCGCCGAACGTCGACGGGGCGACGTCGATTTTGCCCCGGTTGCTCGTTGTATATCGTATTCTCTCTTTTATCTTCCACTCGCCGCGTTTGTCTCGTTTGTTTTCTGTTTTTTTTACTAACTGATCGGGGCTAGCCCCGAAATTATGACGACACAATGCCGACGTTTCTTACAACAACGTGTTGACATACTCACGCATTCCTTCTCGTTCGTTGGTTGCTTGAAGAGTTGATAGATTCCGCAAGGGAGTACCCAAGAAGTCGGAAAATGACACTGAGCTATGAGGGATATTATCTGTAAGTTGATTCCCAAGTGTGGAGAACGTATTCGTATTGAATTTATTGGCAACCATGACCGCGTCTGTCACCGTGGTTCCATTTTCGAGCTTTAATTGTGAGATGGACATGTTATCTCTGGACGTAATCTTGACAATGTCATTGATCGTTCTACATGTGCATTTTACAGTGGCGGCGCGTCAATAGGGCCAACCGGGGTAATGCCCCGGTTGTTTTTTCGGTATAATAAAAAATATTCGAAAAATACCTCAATATCGGTTGCACAGACTGTCTACACTAGCCATATTCTCCCGACATGGTTCATTTTTCGCTCGCAAAGCCTTCGCCGAACGTCGACGGGGCGACGCCGATTTTTCCCCGGTTGCTCATTGTATATCGTATTCTCTCTTTTATCTTCCACTCGCCGCGTTTGTCTCGTTTGTTTTCTGTTTCTTTTACTAAATCATCGGGGCTAGCCCCGAAATTATGACGACACAATGCCGACGTTTCTTACAACAACGTGTTGACATATTCACGCATTCCTTCTCGTTCGTTGGTTGCTTGAAGAGTTGATAGTTTCCTCGCCTTCGTTTTTGTCGCTTGTTTCGCTATTTGAATCAGTTAGAGACCTTTAGTCCATTTGCTTTCGATTTTCCACATTCCTTTTGAGCTCCTCACTTCTTTCCGGCTTCGCATTTCTTAGCCTTAGACCTCATAATGAATAAGGTTGATGCACAACTTCGCACTCCGTTTTCGCAGCTGCCGCTGGAACAAAAATTAGAGGTACAACGTCTTGGGCCTTATCAACCAAAAAATTGTTCACTGGAACAATCCCATGACGGAGGAAAGCGTCGGCGTACATTCTGCGCAGAAACTTGGTATAAAAAGCACGAATGGTTGTGTTACAGCGAGGACAAAAATGCACTTTTTTGTTTTTATTGCCTACTTTTTGCTACCGCCCGTGACTCACGTTGGTGTAAATTTGGTTTTAGAGATCTTAAACATCTTTCCGAGCGTGCCAGGGATCATCAATCTTCTATGGAGCATCTGGACAATGCAGTAAAATACCGAACATTCGGAAATGTTAATATTGCAGCACAGTTGGATGAAGGACGCGCGGTTTCTATTCGGCGGCACAACCAAAACGTCGAGAAAAACCGCCATGTTCTCGGTCGATTGATAGATGTTTTGAGGTTCATTGGTTGTCACGAGCTGTCCCTCCGTGGGCACGATGAACGGGCTGGCTCTTCTAATAGAGGGGTATTTTTGGATATGGTGGAATACACCGCATCCCTAGATACAGTATTGAGAGATCATCTTGATGCCGCAACTGTTTCGAAAGGGACATCTAAGGATATCCAAAATGATTTGATCGACTCAATGTATAAAATTTATTTACAACATTTGGCTCTGGAAATTAAGAATTGCCAGTTCCGTTCGATTCAGTCTGACGAGACAACTGACATCACGTGCGTTTTCCAACTGGCTGTGATTTTTCGGTTTGT